AGCTGAAGGGCCCTGATGCTTACATTTTATTAGCCTTATTGCAAATTTGCTTTTTCCGGTACATTTTCAAAAATATTTAAATTGGCCACATAAACACTATTTACAAACAACCTTTGGATTTCAGTCCTGTATGTATTTAGTTTAAGTTTACTTTGAAATGACAAGTTGATTAGCAAGGAAAATGTTCTTTAAAAGTTTGTCTTGCTTGAAAAGTGAAAAGAAAATTGTGAAACCCCTATACAAACCCGGGTTCTCCAGGTTCACATCATTTGCCCCCAAGGATGGGATTATGGGAGGACTCCTGGTTCTAGGCCCTAGGGAATGGCCTCAGGTCTCAGGCAGTTAGCTACCTGCTACACCCAAGGCTGGCGGTTCAAACCCACCAGCCACTCCTCGGAAGGCAGGTTGGGCAATCTACTTCCGTAGTGATATCGCCTAGGATGGGTCGCTATGAGTCGGGTCTAAGTCCAGGGCACATAACAACAACAACAACCTGGTTCCAGGACGGTGGGTGTACGTGGAGGAAAGGAGAGGTGGGGTCATGCCTCCCCCGGATCAGACCTAATCGGAAGCAGTACTGACCACTGGCCTAACACGGGCCCTTTTAGGAGCTCTGCTCACTGCGCCGCCAGCGCTTGTTTCACCTTCTGTGCCCTCTTTGCCCTTTATTCCGGGGTGTTCTGGGCATTTAAGAGCGCCAGGTAGAGGTGTTGCCTACGCTCTATCGCCATCTAGTGGTCGAAAGTAAACACTACGCCTTCCTTCAGACTCGTCTGGAAAATATTAAAAACCTACTACTACGAGCTCTAGGAGCTCTGGTAGCATAGTGCCTAAGGCACTTGACTGCTCACCAGAAGGCTGGTGGTTCAAACTCACCAGCCACTCCTAGGAAGGACAGTTGGGCAATTTACTTCCCTAGTGATACTGCCTCGGAAACCCAAGGAAGGGTCGCTATGAGTCAGGTCTAACTCCACGGCACATAAGAACAACTACGAGCTCGGGAGAGAGCTCTGGTGGCATACTGCCTAAGGCACTTGACTGCTAACCAGAAGGCTGGCGGTTCAAACCCACCAGCCAGTCCTCCAAGGACGACTGGGCAATCTACTTCTGCAGAGATACTGCCTGGGAAACCCAAGGATGGGTCACTATGAGTCAGAAATTGACTCCACAGCAGTAAGTTTGGTTTTTTTGGGGACTTTGAACTCCGGTCGTGGCACAGTGGTTAAAGCATTTCACTGCTAACTAAAAGGTCAGCGGTTCAAACCCACTCCACAGGAGAAATACGAGGCACACTGCTTCCCTAAAGGTTTACAGCCTAGGACATCCTACGGGGCAGTTCTGCTCTGTCCTATAGTGTCACTGGGAGTGGGAATGGATTCGATGGCAACAGTTTTTTATGTACTTCAGCAGCATAGCTCTGCTCTGCAACACATAGGGTCACCATGAGTTGGAATCAACTTGGTGGCTGATTTGTTTGTTAGATGCTCAGGAGTCTCTAGGTCGTGTAAACTGCTTGGCTGCTAAATGGAAAACTGGCAGTTCAAGTCCCCTCAGAGGCACCTTGAAAGAAAGAGCTCATGATCTACTGCCAAAAACTCAGCCATTGAAAATTCTGAGGGTTCAGTCACCGTGAGTCAGAATTTACTCCACGACAACTGTTTTTGTTTGTTTTTAATGTGCTTGGGAAACTGATTTAGCAACCCACAAAGAATCTTCCTATTCTAAGGCCTAAAGAAAACATGTCCCAAAGCCCTGTTTGCCCTCCGCTAATAGAGGATCAATAGACCCCCAACATCAGTGCTCCTCACAGAAGAGGTTTCCCAGTCAATAGCTGGTATTCCCTGGACAGGAGCCATGTGGGGGTTCCAGGGTGACAAGGAATGTCAGGCCACTTCCCCACCCCTGCCCCATGGGATTCTGCTGTGCCAGCTGGAGAGGGACCAATCAACCAGCGGCCCTGTTCCAACACTCAGGGATACCGCAGCAGAGAGGATAGGACAGTTATACGTCTTCAACCAGGTCCACATGTCACAGAGCAGAGGCGGGGGTGTCTGGACACTGGGACAGCTGAGGGCCATGCCAAGCATGCACGTCCTCAGTGGTTGGGGGCTAGGACTGAGGTGGAGGACCATTAGGGGTGCCGGCCACCCCACCCACTCCCACCTCAGGGAGCCCAAGCAAGCTTCCCCAGGGAGGAGCTGAACCTGTATGGACTTGTCTGAGAACTCATTTTGTGACTCCCTGGAGTTCTGGAGGAGGAGTGGAGGCATTTGGGGGGTATGCACCCAGCAGAGCCAATCGCAGGAAAGCAGTTAAAATACACCGGACTTTATTTTCCCTGGCAGCCTTCATTAAACCAGTGCCATGGAGCTGATTCCTACTCATGGCAGTCTCTTGTGTCTCAGAGTAGACATGTGTTCCATAGGCCTTCAATGACTGATTTTTCAAAAGGAGGTCTCCATGCCTTCCTTCCAAGGGAACTCTGGGTAGACCCAAACCCCCAACCCTGTGGTTAGCAGCCAAGCATGTTAACTGTTGGCGTCACCTGGGGACTTCTATGAAAACACGCCAATTTATTACCTTACAATTAAAGGCAGGGATAAAATACATATCTATTACCAGATTCTCCTTTCTGGAAAATTAAATCATCAGAACATTGCTTGGTGAGCAAAGAATTAGAGCAAAAGGAAAGAAGAAATTCGAAAGCCAGTTTCATTGCAAGACGTGGAAAATTCTGGGGAAATATCTTGGCCTCACTGCACAGATCTCCTATTTGGTGGCAGAACGAGCAAGTCACCACTGGAAAGCATAGATCAGGAACTGCCAAGACCTTACCAGCTCCAGGTTGAAATACATTGTTCTTCTAGTTCATCCATAATTTGCTGTTGACACCACATTGCATCTGCAGAGGGCCCCTTCCCTTAAAAGCTTTGGGGCTCCTAACCGAATCTTCCAATTACAATATATAGAAATCTAGGTTACACTTTTTTACTTTCTAAAATGTATATAGTGGTCTTTACAGTCATTGAAACAGCCTTCTTAAATCCATCTAGATGTAATCTTTAGATTCAGAAACTATTTTATAAACTTAAAAAACAAACAAACAAACAAACACACTACTGTCAAGTTGGACAAGACTCATAGTGATCCCTCCTTGGGTTTCCGAGGCAGTATCGATGGCAAACAACAACAACAACAACAACAATCACTATGGATGTAATTGCCCAACCTTCCTTTCGAGGCGTGGCTGGTGGGTTTGAACCACCAGCCTTCTGGTTAGCAGTCAAATGCCTTAGGCACTGTGCCACCAGAGCTCCCTTTATAAACTTAGGGTAGCTATATCCAACTAGTCCTTTGCTCTTACTGATTTTTATCTCCTAATATCCTCATAAGGAGCTCTGGTAGCATAGTGGCTAAGGCACTTGACTGCTAACCAGAAGGCTGGCGGTTCAAACCCACCAGCCACTCCTCGGAAGGAAGGTTGGGCAATCTTACTTCCATAGTGATACTGCCTCGGAACCCAAAGAGGGGTTGCTATGAGTTGGGGCCCACTCCACGGCACATAACAACAACAACAACAATATCCTCATAAGGACCTCTGGTGGTACAGTAGTTAAGCCCTTGACTTCTATCAAAAAGGGTGGCAGTTCAAACCCACCAGCCCTTCTGCATGGGAGAAAGATGTGGCAATTTGCTCCTGTAAACGTTGCAGCCTTGGAAATCCTGTGGGGCAGCTCTACCCTGTCCTAGGGGGAATCAGCTGGACCGCACACACGACAATAGTCTCCAACACAATAGCCTCCAATCAGCCCCTTCTTTCCATTCCCACTTTCACTACCCATTCTCCTAACTGGTTTATCTGAGTCCACTTTTGCCTTCTCCAATGCATTCTCTACACAACAGCCAGGGAGATATTTTAAATGCATAAATCAGATTTTTATATTCCCTGCATAAAAGCCTTTAAGGGCATCGCACTTAGAAAAAAGCCAACCTTTTAGGTACCTTTTTATGATGTGTCTGTCCTTTGTTGACCTCTGACCCCTTATCTCCCTTCACTTTGCTCCCTATAGCTTTGTCTTTTGTCACTTCTTAGAGTGGTCCACACTCTTTGCTTCGAGATAGTGTAACATTGGTCCCCTCGGCGCCTCCCTCACAGCCGCTTAAGGCTTATCTCGAGTCCGTTAGGCTCTGAGTAGTACCCTGCACACAGGAGGTGCTTAAAACTGTGTATAACCGCACGCCCTCATTCTGCCGCGGGATCCCGGAAGGATGGCACTTGAGGGTTTTTTGTGTGCTGCTGTGAGGCTGGTATTTAGTCCACAGTTCCCTCGCGATTGCTATTTCCAGATCGGACTCTCCCCGGCCTCCACGCGCCGTTAGGAGCCTCGTCCTGGAGTGGATGGCGGGGGAGTGAAACGCGGTGTGATGTCAGAGAAACCGCTCTTTGGGATTCGGGGCCTGGAAATCAATTTATTTCTGAAAGCTTTCCACACACAAGGAGGCGGGTCGGAAGTCTGGCCCGAGCGCGTCCCCAAGTCGTCATTGGGTGGAATCCCTAGTCCTGGTTCTGTATTGGCTAAAATCTATGCAGCTGGGCGGGGACATGGCTTCCTCCTGACGCTTCATTGGCTAAAAGTATTGCCGTGGACTGTGGGTTCACATTGGCTAAAATCAAGAGCTAGGACATGACTTACAATCTTCTGGGCCCCTAGTTGGCTGGTGGGATAGACAGGCCTTTGTCCCGCCCCTTTATCTAACGCTTTTCATATTAAACAAAAAGGTGAGGATTTGGCCTTCGTTTCCTCTGAAGCCACGGCGGTTCCTTTCCGGCATCTGCTCCCCAGAGAACTTCGGGATTCTGTGACCGCGGGGATTTAGGGAGACGCAAACGCTGAGGGAGCCCGGAACGATTCCTTCGCGGAACCGTTGAGCCGAGGCTTCTGGGAGTTCGTTGAGGGACACATCGCTAGGGGCCTGGCTGCACGAGTTGGGATGGCGGTCGCGGGTGGGCCGGGGTTCGCCGTTCCCCTAGAGCTACGGCGAGACCGGTGCATGGTGTGCGTGGAGTACCCAGGCGTGGTGCACAACGTATCCAAGATGCTACCGACTCTGGGCGGCGAGGAAGGCGTCTCCCGGGTAAGGAGAAAGGAGTCTTCAGGATAACCGGGAAAGGACCGAGTTCTGGGAGTACCGCCAGAAGGGCCAGAGTATCCGGAGAAGTGTAGTTTCCGTGGCAACGGGGCGCGAGGCGGGCTCTGGGGTAGCCAGTGGGCGGGAGCTTTGCTTCCACTATTGCTTGCAACGGGCTGTTTTAAAATTCGGGAGCGGTAGAAAAAGAACTGTGGCCGAGACTCTAGGGGGTCATTTGCATCTCATCCCCAGATACGAGCTGCAGCCTCAGCATCCCTGCCATGAACGTCTAGGGTGTGCTGGGTGGGCTGCCTTGTCTCCGCGTCACGGAGTAGAAAACAGGCACGGGGAGATTAAGGACCACTGACGTACGTGGGAGGGGGACAGGTGTTATGTTATTAGTGTTCAGAGTAGTGTTAGCTGACTTCTTGTATGCCACACCAAACCCACTGCCATCGAGTCAGTTCTGACGCACAGTGGCCCTGTAGGACAGAGTAGAACTGTCACTAGGGTTTCCAAGGCTATAAATCTTTATGGAAGCAGATTGCCTCATCTTTTTCCTTGGGAATGGCAAGTGGGTTTGAATCATGTACCTTTTGGTTAGCAGCAGAATGTCTTAGCCACTGCCCCACCAGAACGCTTTCTGTTTTATGCTGGGCACAGGTATGTTACTTACATTTGAGCCTCATTGAAACTCTACCAAGTAGGAACTGTAGTAAGTAGAGGAAGTGGGATGAACTTTAGTTGGTACCAGGCTCTTTGCTAAATTTTTTCCATATATATCAAACCTTTAAATGCCTGCAACAGAGCCCTAGTCATTCGTGTTTTGTTCTTTTATACTGACTTATTCACTTAACTTGTGGCTTTGGCAGGACCCTTGTCCTCACTAGCCCAAGGGTATCGCTGCCAAACTACAGTGTGAACTTTTTGAGAAAGGACCTTGGACATTCATTCATTCATTCCCCTCATGTTCTTAAGCACTTTCTCTGTGCCAGGACCCCCATCTGAGGTCATTCCCACCCCAGCGCGGCTCAGAGACCTATGTTTCATGAGAAGAGGATTCCTGGGGAATGGAGTTGCTTTTAACTTCATTCCTTTACTAGGTATTCCTTGAGCATCTACTGAGGCCCAGGCCCTGCCCTGGGTGTTGGGGAGCTAGCAGACTAGCAAGTACATGATCTTGTCACAGCATACATTGTTGATGCTTTCATATGCACACATCTGACGTTCATTTTGCCCCTTTAACCTGGGGTGAGGCGGACAGTTATTCATAATGTAGGTAACATGTATGTTGAGTGTTTACCATGAATTAGGCACTGGGCTAAGTGCTTTATACATATTTTTCTTTAATCATTGTAACAATCTTAAGGGGAAGGAACTGAGGTTGAGAAAGGATAGGTAACATCTAGTCAGCCAGAGTAGGTTTCACTGATTGATTTCATCTTCTTTGGACCTAGAAACATTTGCTTATGAGACTGAATCCCAAGGCCCTTATGAGTGGGTAGTTCCTAGATTAGGTAGCTTTAGACAACACTCCACCCCACACCCCTGCGAGCCTAATGCCTCAAAGGTAAACTCGGGGTTGATGGCACCTCCCATGAACTATTGCCAGAAGAGTGTTAAAATGCCCCACACAGACCAGGCACTTGATAAATGGGGGCTTCTAATTGGCAGTTGTTATCTCCAATTTTATAACCCCTGAGAAGGAAGAGACTAGTTATCCTCATTTTCTTGACTGGATCAAAACTAAATTAATACGTGGCTTTGAAAAATTAGTTTGGACCCCAGAATAAAACTCCTCCCTGGGTCACCTGTGTTGCCAGAAGGCTTGGGATGAGAGGAACGGCTCCCTGCTGAGCTGTTTGTCTGCTTGCTGCTCCGCTTGTCTCTTTCCACTCTCACCACAGATCTATGCAGACCCCACGAAGAGGCTAGAACTGTACTTCCGGCCCAAGGATCCCTACTGCCACCCTGTGTGTGCCAACCGCTGCAGTACCAGCAGCCTGCTGCTCCGGATCAAGAGGAAGACAAGGCGGCGGGCAGCCCCATTAGGGGCTGAGGCCTGCCCCAAGGTCGTGTTTGAGATGGAGATCCTTGGTACCATCTCCACCACTTACAGGTTTCAGGGTAAGTATGAAGTCCACACTTGCTGCATCGGTTTATATCAGGGCCTCCTGTCCCAACTTCTCACAGGTTTTGAGTGTGTAACTCAAACACAAGTGACACAGGCCAGGATTACCCAGGGGCCAAGGGGCAGGGGCTCTGGGAAACCACAGAGCACAGGCTTCTTCTAGGAGACAGTCTCTCCCCGTCCAGGCAGCGGTTCTCTGGGGTACACGGACTCATTGCTGCCCAATGGTCTGCATTCTTAAGAGAAGATAGGAATCCAGGGTTCTATGAGAAATCTCCTAACGTCTAATAAAACTGTCCTGTGGGGCCAAATAAGGCTGGTCAGCACATCTCCAGTTTTTGATGTTTTTCAGTTCCTTTTATCAATCTTGACTGCTGCTGGTCCTGCCCTTCCTTCAATCCTTCCCAGATCACTCAGTCCCTTGCAATCTCACCTCTTTTGAATTTTTTTAGCAGACTGGATCTCTCATGGTGTCCTCAGTTGACTTTTCCACCTACCGGAACCCTAGTGCAGAGACAGTAAAGTGGGGGGTAAGAAAGTGGGCTTTAGAATGATGCCTAACTGAGCCCTGCCAATTTCTTTGTGCCCATTACTTGGCCTCTCTCAGTCTCAGTCTTCTTTTGTATACAGTGGTCGAGTAGCCCTGAGCTCATTAGGTCCTGGTGAAGAATCAGGGAGACTGTGCCATTAAAGGGTACTTGGCATGTTATTGGCAAGCCTTCAAGATGTCTGCAGTTGCCACTGGCAGTTCTAAGACAGAATCTGAAGAGAATAAAGATTACGAAAGGAAAAGGGAGTAGAGAAGAGAGAGGAAGAAGAAAGTAGAAAGAGGACAAACAGCATGGTCACACAGAGTCGGGCAATTTTAGCATCAGTCATTCTGGTGAAATGTATTCAGGAAAGGGAGTGTCCTTCCTGGACAAGGTTTTCCAAGTGGTTCATAAAATATCACACTTCCTAAACTCACTGCTGTTGAGTTGAATTCAACTCATAGCGACCCCTCCTTGGGTTTCCAAGGCGTTATCACTACAGAAGTAGATTGCCCAATCTTCCTTCTGAGGAGTGGCTGGTGGGTTTGAACTACCACCCTTCTGGTTAGCAATCCAGTGCCTTAGGCACTAGCCCACCAGAGCTCCTATTTTTATGTCTGATTAAACCAGCACCTTGCTACTCAGTATGTGGGCCCTGGACCAGAAGCATGGGCCTCATCTGGGGCTGTTAGAACTGCAGCATCTCAGAAGCTGCAGATCCCAGGTGATTCACATGCACATTACATTTGGAGAACCACTGACCCTGACTTATCCTCACATGTAACACAGCCCCCACAATAGTATTTATTCAAGTGATGTGAATAAAAGTACATTGAGCCAAGTTTGCAAAAGGGTGTTGTTTCAGCTCCTGCCACCTGTGCCAACACACAGTTTGCTCAGCACCTTCCTAAAAGGATGTGGGGGTTGGTGGGTTGCAAATGCCAGTTCCTGGATGAGTATCTGGAAGATGTGGCTATAATAGGGAGAGCTGTCCTTGGCCTCGTGTCCGCCATTTGCCTGCATCTCCTTCTAGGAATGTCTGACTTCCAATACCTAGCCGTGCACACAGATGCGAGCGGCAGGCACACATCAATGTACGACAAAGTGCTCATGCTTAAGCCTGAGAAGGAGGAGTTCTTCAACCAGGAGCTGCCACTCTACATCCCCCCACCCATTTTCTCCCGACTGGACACCCCGGTGGATTACTTCTATCGACCAGATATACAACACCGGTAAGGCCCCTTCTTGCAGTGTCAGGGTTCAGAGCAAAGGCTCTCGAGTCAGGTGGCCTAGATCTGAAGCTCAACTCTGTTGCTCACAGTTGGGAGGTCTCCGGCATGCCACTTAGCCTCTCTGAACCTCAGTTTCCCTGTCTTTAAAATGGGATAACAATAGTACCTACCAAACAGAAGTATTAGGATTAAATAAAAGTAAAGCATCTGAAGTTCTTAGTACAAGACCGGATACAGGGCAAATCCTCATTAAGTGATGGCCATCTGATCACAAGCTTCGCTTCATTCCCATGGGTCCTCAAAGTGCAGAGATCTTGGCCATAGGACTTGAGGGTTCCTGCTGAGAAATGACCCCTTTGGTTTAATCCCCTGGTCATTGGTGACCAGTCACTCTCTGGACCTTGCTATTAGCAGCAGCACCACCAATATCTTAGTGTCCTCAGGCAATCTCTGGCTTTCCTTGGCTTCTAGATGCATCTTTACATGGTATCTTCCTCCTATATGTGTCTCTCTGTATTTGATTTCCTCTTTTATAAGACAGTATGTGGATGGGATTAGGACCCAGCCTCTTGTTTTATGCCCTCAAGTCAATTCTGACTCATGGTAACCCCATGTTACAGAGCAGAACTGCTCCATAGGGTTTTCTTGGCTATAATCTTTACAGAAGTAGATTGCCAGGCCTTACTCTAAAAAACCAAAACCAGACTCGCTGCTGCCGAGTCGGACCTGACTCAGCGACCCCTCCCTGGGTTTCTGAGGCGGAATCACTATGGAAGTAGATTGCCCAACCTTCCTTGTGAGGAGTGGCTGGTGGGTTTGAACCACCAGCCTTCTGGTAGCAGTCACGTGCCTTAGGCACTATGCTACCAGAGCTCCTAGGCCTTACCCTACTCCCTTTTAAAAGACTGTTTCCAAACAAGGTCACGTTCCTCAGTACTAGGGGTTAGGACTTAATCATATTTTTTGGGGACCCAGTTCAATCCATAACAACCACCTAAGAATTGGTTCTTGCAGACATCCCCCTCCTGTGCTGGGGGATCCCATGCCAAGGACTCTATAACATATACCCTTGGACTATAGCACATTAGCTCCTCTGCTGCTGCTTGGCCTTGGTGCCCTGCATCTGTCAGAGATTTCAGGCCGTCTTTGTAATCCATTCTTCCCCCATCCATCTCCCTCTGCCACATTGACTCTAACAGCCCATCCCCAGTTCAACCCAGCTGTTTGTCTTCTCTTGGCCTGCCCCCAGGCAGCAGGCGGTTACCTCAGAACACCACCCAACCCCTGGCCAGTCTCCAGGCCACTTCCCTCAAGGTGGCTATGAATCTGAATGGGTCTTGCTTGTTAATTGTGTACTTGTCTGTTGTCTATCTCACTGTAGAACGTAAGCTCCTTGAGAAGAGACACTGGGTATCTCTTGACTAAATGGTGGGTTTCTCTTACACTAAGGGCTGTGAAAAGCCAAATGGATGCGTATCATAGCCCATCTCCCTCCTCCTCACCCCTGCCTCCCATGCACACATTCCTAACAAGGCCACGTGCAAGTGTGCAGTTTATTAAAATGAATTAAGTCTTTAATTTAGACTGTCTTGAAATAATTAGAGACCCCAGGGGTTGTTGGAAAAGCAGAACTGGCAACTGTCAGATGTTGATTTTACATTAGTGACCAGCCACACATTGTCATGAGGGAATAGGATGCCCTTTGTGTAAAAGCCAAGACAGTACTATTAAAAAATATGAAGAAAATAGTTTGAAAATACCCAGCTTGAGTTAATAGCATCCCCCACCTCCACTGCCAGTTATTTAACATTCTCATGGGAGTAGTGCTGTGGGTGTATTTTATCCCCAGCCTTGCGGTAATTTCACATGTTATGTCATGCCCGTTTACAACTGAGGAAACACACTCTTAACTCTTCACATGTGGCTAAGAGCTTGCCCTGGTCCTGCGAGCAGCACCTGAGCCCCAGTCGTTCTGACTTCACAGGCCTTGCTTACTGCCCAGTGCCATACTGGTCTGATTGATGTATGCTTTTCCCCAATTACCCACAAAAGATAAAATCAGAAAACTTCACAAGTTTAACATTAGCTCCCTAAAGTAGAGATTTGGCCTGTTTTGTTCTCTGTCATAGCACTGGTGCCTGGAACAAGCCTACCACATGGAAGAAACTCAGCAAGTATCTGTGAACTAAGCAAATGACTGTCATCGTGTACCACATTACATCCATTCAGGCAGCATCTGACCACATATGCGTTCTTGGTCCCATAAACGTATAACAGGGTTCAGAAATTCCAGTTGCAGAATGGACATGGCAAATGCAGCCACTTCCCACATGCAACACATGTGTCTCATGTCTCTGGTACATAAAGGGATTGTGCTGCCAGGCATATAAGGGTACAGTATAGATATAACCTATAATACATGTGTCTTGATAGTCATGATAAATAGCTATGTGACTGGCTCATGTATATACTATACTGTACTTTCTATCTAAGAAGTTTACCATTTAACAGCATATGGTACACCCTTGGACTCCAGCACAAATCTTATTTATTATGTGTCTCTTGAGTGTTATAGCATTATCTTTCTGTTTAATTTCCTTTCGAAAATATTACCATGAAGTGCATCATGGCTCCAAAATGCAGCAAAAACCAGTGCTAGTGAAAGCATGGTAAGAGGCAAAGGGGAAGTATTGATTTGGAAGTGAAAGAAAATGTTATTGAACAACACAAAGGTGGAAAATCAGTAAGTAAATACTGTTGCTCACAATTTAAGCATATCATACGTAACAATCACTACAATTCTCAAAAACAGAAACAAAATTCGCCAAGCTGTTAAAGGATTAAAAAAAAAAAGAACTCACTGTCAATTCCAACTCATCACAACCCTTCCTTGGGTTTCCGAGGCGGCATCACTATGGAAGTAGATGCCCATTCTTCTGCTTCCAAAGAGTGGCTGGTGGATTTGAACTGCCAGCCTTCTGATTAGCTCCACTGAAAGCTACAAGGCTAATGAGAGGGAACTATATCACATAGGGAGAAATTGCTCATGATGTAGACTGAGGACCAAACACAAAAGCAAATCCTATGAGCACATTGATGATCACTGCTAAGGCACGAAGCTTGTTCAAGATGCCTAAAAGAAAAAACAGGACCAGACTGTAATACGGTGTTTACATAGCACCCACATCGTAGATCGTCCTATTTCACAGAACCTGCCATGGACTTTAAATGACATATGATGTAGTAAAAACAGATAAGCAAAAGGAAAAGGAAATTTTGTGAAATGACCTATAGGTAATGATCTTTGTTAAAGAATTTTTCCATAGTGTGTTTTTTGTTTGTTTGTTTGTTTTTGCAGTGTTCCCTCCCCACTCCTCCCATCCCTGGCAACCAACAAAGAAAGTTTCCTTCCATATATAAACCTTTCCTTGACCTGCCACAACAACAAACTAATACTATATTTGTTCTTCTATGATTGACTTATTTCACTCAGCATAATGTCCTCCAAGTTCATCCATATTATGTGGTGTTTTGCAGACTACATTATTCTTTAGTGCTGCATAGCATTCCATTATGTGTATGTACCATAGTTTGGTCATCCACTCTTCTGCTGATGGGCATGTGGGTTGTTTCCATTTTTTTGCTATTGTAAATAGTGCTGTGATGAACATGAGTGTGCCTATATCTGTTCCTGCCTGACTCTCACCTCTCTAGGATATGTACCTAATAATGGGATTGCTGGGTCAGATGGTATCTCCAATTCCAGCTTTCTAAGGAATCGCCATATTGCTTTCCAGAGTGGTTGTATCACTTCACAGGCCCACCAGCAGTGTATGAGAGTCCCAATCTCTCTACATTCCCACCACCATTTGTTATTTTCTGTCTCATTGAACCTTGCCGTCAGTGCTGGGGTAAGACGATATCTCATTGTTGTTTTGATTTGCATCTCTCTGGTAGCCGATGATTGTAAGCATCTCTTCGTGTATTAGCTGGCCACCTGAATATCCTCCTTGATAAAGTGTCTATTCATGTTTTCTACCCATTTTTCAGTTGGATTGTTAATTCCTTTGGTGTTGAGGCGTTGGAGTTTTCTATAAATCTTAGAGATAAGTCTCTTGTCAGATATGTAATTATCAGCAAATATGAATTTGTTGCTGTCATTTTTGTTATGTGCTTTTCTGTAGTGTCGATTTCTTTGTTCCATCCATATAATTTTCTATGCTGAACTTACTTTGTTTATGAATCATGTTATCACTTCCTTCGTTGCTGTTGTTTTAGTATTTGCTAAATATTTGTGCTGGTCTTCTTTTTTATTTTGATATGAAGGTTTATCATTTTTCTTTGAGGTTACCCTGTGATTTATAGTTTTCTTCCCAAGTTTAGAACAGTCCATTCTATCTTCTAGTTGTCTTGACTTCCCTACCATCTAGAAATTCTGTAATGACACAGTTTTTTCCCTCTTTTTGGTTTGTAGTTGTCTTCATTCATCAATTGATGTCTCTGGTTTCTTGTTTACAATCTTGTTACAATCTTGTAGGCTTATTTACTTTGGATACTTCCATAGCTGGGTTGGTTTCTGGGTTATATCATCATGTGTGTTGATGGTCAGTTGTTGGCTGTTGTTGCTTCTCTGTCCAAAGGGCTCCTTTTAGCATCTCTTGTGAGGTTGGTCTGGTTTTAACAAATTCCCTTAATTTCTGTTTATCTGGAAATGTCCTAATATATCACCATCATATTTGAGGGACAGCTTTGCTGGGTACGTAATTCTTGGTTGGAAATTTTTCTCTTCCAAGGTTTTATATATGTCATCCCATTGTCTTCTTACCTGCATGGTTTCTGCCGAGAAATTCGAGCTTAGTCTTATTGGTTGCCCCTTGTAGGTAACTTTTCTTTTTTCCCGTGCTGCTCTCATGATTCTTTCTTTGTCTTTGGTTTTAGTAAGTTTGATGATGATATGTCTTGGTGATTTTCTTTTGGGGTCTATCTTGTTTGGGGTTTGTTGGACTTCTTGAATAGATATATTTTCATCCAACAAATCTTCGACAATTTTCTCTGTGGTTTTATTTGTCTCTTCCTGTTCTGGAATTCTGATTACACATAGGTTATTCCTTTTGATGGTATCCCACATGAACCTTAGGCTTTCTTCATTTTGTTTTAATCTTTTTTCTGATTTATTCCTTTCCAAAGAAGTGTTCAGGTATTTGCCTTCAATCTCCCTAATTCTGTCTCCCATTAATTCAATTCTGCTCCTTTGCCCATTCAATGTCTTATCTATTTCTGAAAACTTAGTATTAATCTTCTGGATTTCTGGGTGTAGATTTTATATCATTTCTGATTTTTCATTTATTTTGTCATTTTGTTCTTGTATTGTCTTTCAAAATTGTTTTAGGGTTTTCTCTGTGTTTTCCTCAATTTTGTCAGTGTTTTCCTTGATCTGTCTCTCAGTTTGTTGAAGATACCAAAATATAATTCTTTTGAATTCCTTACCAGGGAGTTCCAATGCTGTGGCTTCTTCAAGGATGTGTTTTGGGTCTGTATCCTGTTCCCTTGTTTCTCCTGGCTTATCTTGCTTCTTTGTGTGGACTGTGATGCTCTGTTATCTCCAAGGCATTGTGACATTTTTGTGTTTATATTTAATTGGTGATAGTATGTTAGGGTGACTTGCCCACAATTTTCATTTTCTTTGTTTTGTTTGTATGTTATCTATGCAAGCAGGGTACTATGCTGTGCTACTCTATTCACTAGTTGACAGCACTTATACACTCACCACCTGTCTCCTTTCCTTTTGTCAGCCTCTTGTATGTCCCTGTTGACCTTGACAAACAGCCTATTATTAGGTCCCTGGAATCTGAATGAGAATGCTATCACTTTAAAATCCAAAATGGTTGCCACTTGTAAAGATTCAAAATGCTGCACCCTCAGTCACTTTAAATATCCAAAATGGCCACCGCTTGTAAACATTCACAATGGCTGCACCCTTGGTCACTTTAAATATCCAAAATGGCTGCCACTTATAAACAATCAAAATGCCTGCACCCTCTGGATAGCGGAAAGTCAACAGCTCATGTTGTTTCTCTTCTTGCTGTTTCCCTTCCTAGTCATAGGCCACCAGCGCAGTCATCCTTGCAGCCCTTGGTGACCAGAGCCGATATTTAGGTCAATTCTCAGGTCCCAACACCACTTGGAAATATCCAAGCTGTTGGTCCCGGCAGAGTAGCTGACAGTCCACAGCTTCGACCGTCTCTGTACTCAGTGTTTTTCCACTAGTTGGTGCCTGATCCACTTCTGTATAGTTCCTTTCAAAGCTCAGGGCTCCAGAATTATCTTCTGTATCTCTGTCAATTATTTTTTCTTTTCTTTGTTGAAGAGAGTCTGTCACTTGTATGCCTATTCCTCCATCTTACTGGAAGTCTCTTCCATAGTATGTTTTAAGCTTCCAAACTTGTGATGAGTTACAGTGCCTGCTAACTAGGGTAGCTGTGGGTCATCTCCCTTCCAGCTAGCCAGAGACTGTCAGCTTTGCTCAGGCCCATGGCCCGAATGCCCCCTGTGTCCTGCCTGGTAACTTCAGAGGCAGAGCAGTGGATGACAAGGAGTGTCAGGAACCAGCCTGAGTCTGTGTGCCCCACTGGCGGCTTGCTCAGATGTTTCCCCACACCATGGAGAGTGACTTGGAGGTCTTGCCTTTGGAGACTTAAAGACCTGTCCCCAAAAGCACTCACCTTGGTGTGTGAAGAGAAAGACACACTCTAACTGTAAGGGGCACCATGAATGAGGTTGACTCTTTTGGAGAGCAACTTGGCAAAATCTATTAGGATTTTACATGTTCTTTCCCGTTGACTAGCCTGTCCCATCTCTAGGAATCCATCCCACAGTGTTTCTCACTTCAGTGCTCAAAGATACGTTTTCTAGACTGTTCACTGATTAGTGGTTGACAGCAGCAGGAAGTTGCATGAAATCTTGGTGGCTTGGTGTGGTGGGAGGAGCCCACACACTGGAGCCTGGTTTAACTCCTAGCACCACAGGTCAGCCCTGTGTGGTCCTGAGTGAGCCACCTGGCCTCTCACACCAGCTTCCCTTTCTGTAAAGGGGAAAACAATAGTACCTACTTCCCCGTGTTGTTAGAAGTAAATGACTTAATGGAACTCTGGTGGTGCAGTGGTTAAGTGCTGGCCTGCTAACTGAAAACTCAGTCGTTCTAACCCACCAGCCTCAGTGAGGAAGAAAAGACCTGGTGATGTGCTGTCTTAACGATCACAGCCTAGGAGAACCTGTGGGGACAGTTCTGCTTTGTCCTTAGGGTCTCATAAATCCAAACCAGCAACACAAAACAACAAGATTTTTAAAGTCCTTAGAACAGTGAGTGCCTGGCAGGGTTGGTGTACAAAAACACAGCTGCAATACTCTTACCAGACGAAGCAAAATAACCAGTACTCCTTCATATGCTCCAGTACCCAGGCCTTGTTCAGTTTTCCCCAGTTGTCTCAAAAATGACTCAAGAGCCAAATAAGCGCCATGTGTTACTTTTGGCTGGTGTCTTGCAGGTCTGTTAAATCTACAGCATCCCCTCTCTCCTCTTTTTTTCTGATTGCAGGGGTAAATTGTGCTTGTTAGAAAAAATCAAAATGTTACAGAAGTGTGTAATGAAAAAGAATCAGGTCATGTCACCTCCTTGCTTAAAACCCTACACAGGACAGGAGAGGGGTGCTGTTCTGTGTGTCTTTTATACTAGCGCAAGAGTTTTAAGCACAGGGGGATAGGATCCATTTTTGAAAAGTTACATTATTTCTGAAATGCTTTGATTTTTTTTCCTCACAACTAATAATTTACTCTTGCGGTTGGAAACAGAAATACGTAGCGTGAGACACCCTTCTGCCCTGCCTTCTTCTGGCACTCCATGGCAGAGTCTAGGCATGTTTTGCTCTATGAGGCCAGCCCGCATCTGTTCCCAAGTGATGTCAAGGGAGGAGGCTGGGCTAACCTTAGGCCCACTAACCCCTTTCCAGCCCCGTGTGTCTTATCGGTTTTCCAACAGGTGGAAAGAACCTGCCTTTTCTCCCAGGATTGCTATCATGTTTTCTGCTCTGTTGGCCTTCCTGGGTACACAGGACCCAGAAGGGTCAGGCATAGCCACTACCTTGCAGGATGTTCCCTGCATCTGGGGAGTTGAGTTCCCCACAAGCCAAGCAGGCAGAGGAGAGGCTGGGAGGCCAGCCTTGGGGGGTCCTTCTTCTCCTGCTAGCAGTCCAACCCCTCCTGCTCCTCAGGGGAACCATCTGGGGTGGTCCCACTGTCTTTGCTGCCAGCTCTTGTCACCCGCCAGCAGTTCTCCACACACTTAGGATTGTGGTGATTGCATGCAGATGTCTGAAGCCTGGAGCCGCAGTGGGGGGTGGGGAAGCAAAGGCAGCCATAAGTCTGTCCCTGCAGTGCCCAGCACAGGCTAGCCCTCAGCCTGCTGTTTCCGTAGACAGGCTGCTTGGCCCAGCAAGTGAGCCACCAGTAGCTGTACTTCTTGGGGATGTCTGGCATTTGGGGGAAGTGCCCTTGAAAACAGGGTCATGTCATACCTGTCCAGGGTGGTTTTTCACGGATTTACACAAAAGCAAAAGCACAGACTTCCTCCTTTTTTCATTTTGTTTCTCAGCATGAAAATGACTTTGCTACTCTTTCTAAGTAGGAAAGTGGCATGTACTCATGTAGAAAAGGCAAAACAGAAAGAAATAAAAAAGTTAGTGATCACTGGAATGAAACTGTATGATGTGCAGGGTCCATTTTAAAATATACTTTGAAATAATTTAGTGGGCTTAGGATAGAGTATGAGTAAAACAAGGTTAGCTGTGTGATAATAACTGTTGAAGTCAATGATGGGTTTATGGGTTCTTGCTGCTATTCTCTCTGCTTTTGTATAGGTTTGACATTTCTGAAATCTCTCCCACAAGGGTAGCCACTAGGAAGCTTTTGGGAAACATTCTCCTAGTTGTGTTTTATGCCAACACATAGAGAGATCGACCCAAGAATGCCTGGTTCTAGAACCCTTGCTTTTAACTCTGTGTTAGATACAATACCACTGGGTACTATCCTTTGTTCATTTACCATCTGGTGTCAAGATGCTTCTGAACCAAAGACACACGCTCTGTGTTGGAGAGGCGGCAGGGCAGGCAGTTGAGAAAGTGGCCTGTGCAGCCAGGCTCCCTGGGCTTGCATGCCGGCTCTTATGTAGGAGCTCTTTGACTCTGGGCAGGTTTCCCAATCCCTGTGGCCTCACTTACTTCATCGGAAAATGGTTCTGCTCTCATGGGATTGTTGTGAGGGTTAAATAAACAAATATGTAAAAGTCAGTAAGCTTAGCTATTGTCTCGCTGTCCATTGTGGCAGCCAATTGTGTTCTATTGTATGGCTGTGCCTTAATAGATTTCGTCATTCACCACCAGTGGACATTTAGGGCTGTGTCCAGCTTTCACTAACAGGATGGTGTTGCATGTGACTGGGTACAGTTAGGAAGCCACCAGCCTCATCCCAGCCTCTTGGGGGGGCGGGGAGATTCTCCAACTCAGCTATATCTAGTGGGCCCTTTTGGCCTTGCCCAGCTTCAGAGCTGTGACCTCCACATTGCAAGCTCCCTGTCCTCACCCCTGAGAACACAGGCTTCTTCCTTCAGCAGCCAGCACTATAATCTCCCTAACTCAGGTTCATTCCTAGGAAAAGGCTCACAAAGATGGCTTTCTCTTCCCCCAGGGAAGGCTACAACAACCCTACCATCTCAGGCGAGAACCTGATTGGCCTGAGCAGGGCCCGGCGCCCCCACAACGCCATCTTTGTCAACTTTGAGGATGATGAGGTACCCGTGCAGCCGCTGGAGGCTGCAGTCCAGACATGGAAGAGAATTTGCACCAACCCCATAGACAGAAAAGTGGAGGAGGAGCTGAGGAAGGTGAGCCCCCCGCCACGCTCCTATGATTACTCCCTTTTATTTACCCAGCTGGTCCTAGCCCCTCTTTGCTTGGGGGCTGGCCAGTCTTACATTTTTTAAAAATAGATAGAAATTTTTTACCTCCAAATGTCATGTCTAAAAACCATGTCAACATAAGCCCTGCAATTCCAAAGGCTGAAAATACTTCTTAGAATTCTTAAGTGTTGGCTTTGGGGTGTTGGTAAAATGGGTACATTGTCCAAATGTGGCTTAAACATGGAGCTCCAGACCTGGTAAGTTTTTATTTATCCATTTGTTCATTTCATCAAGCCAAATGGAGCACCTCCTGTGTGCCAGGCCCTGGCACTTTCATCCATGAGAGCTGAAGCTCTGTCGCCATGCACCTCCCTGGCCAGGCCTTTGGGTTCTGTGGGCACCAAGGTTAGGTCTTTTGTCCATGTGAACAGCCAAGTTCACAGTGAGACCAAATTGCTGGCCAACTGAGGCTCGGGACTCTTCCCTTGTATAAGTTGAAGTTACACACTGTTCCCTTGGAGGATTTTTATTTCTTAAAGAGACTTGTTTAATTTCTAGCAGTCACTTTCTAGAAAAAAAAGAAGAGTAAATAAAATAAAACAAAACGCCATTATCTGTGGCTCCTCACTGTCCTGTGGACACACTTCACATCCCTAACTCTGGCTTATGAGGCCCTTTCCGCCCTTGCCCCTCACACTTCCACCACACTGGGCCTTTTGCCAGCCTCCCCTTGGTCAGGCCATCTCCTTCGGACCTCAGGATATCCCACCTCAGTGTCCACCTTCTAACTGGAGCTACTCAAGAGTTCCCAAAGCTCCAGCACTTCCCTGGTCAGCCCTGCTGTAGGTCCTTTTGTCATCTGCCTCCCGCTGTCCTGACAGCTGCCTAACGATGGGGACCAAGTCCCTGGGGTCATTTCAGTTTCCATGACTCTACTTGGCACTCTAGGCTTTCAACTCATGTTTCTGAATGAAAGGCTGATGGAGTAGGGCAGCAGTTCTGGGGGGATTGTCCCTGCAGAAACCCAGGGTGAGGGTTCTGCCCCAACTTTTGCTGCCTCTTCTCTGAAACTGCCCACTGGGGGCTCAGCCCCAAGGGTCCCCTTGGGCCAGACCATGCTGGGGAGCCTGGGGCAGGAGAGCAGGTGGGAAGTTGCTCATATTCACCTAAGCCTCTGTCCTTTACCCTCTCCAGCTGTTTGACCTCCGTCCCATCTGGTCACGCAGTGCTGTCAAGGCCAACATTAGCGTCCACCCTGACAAGCTCAAGGTCTTGCTGCCCTTCTTGGCCTATTATATGGTGAGTGTTGGCATGCCTGCCCGCCTGCTGGCCATGGTTTCCACCAAGGTTGTCCTTGATCCTTGTTGTGACATCCTAGAGGCACAAGAGCAGGTGACTCCCTGTCCTGGCACCCCTGGGGTGGCTTTTTAAAGCCATCTAGGAAGGTTTTCAGCTCCCAGTGTGAAAAAGTTCAAGGGAGCTTACGCAGACTTCTTAGTAACATATCTGGCCATAGTTGGACAATTTGAGTATCCCCCTAACTTTTTGGTTAAGGCATCAGGCTGGTAACCCAAAGGTAAGTGGTTTGAACCCACCAGCCACTCCATGGGAGGAAGATGAGGCAATCTACTGCCATAAAGATTTACAGCCTTGGAAACCCAGTGGGGGTCACCGTGAGTCGGAATCAATTAGCTGGCAGTATTTTTGGTGTGAACTTTTAAGTAAAAGAGTTGTACATTTGTAAATGCCCTTGCATTGAGAACTTCCTAAGGACCAGGCATTGGATTAAGTCTGTATATACAGAATATACTTTATTACTCCCTGGGAGGTGGTGGCAGGATTCTCTTTTTATCTCTGAGGAAAAGCCTGGGCTCAGAGAGGTGACATGCCATGCCAAGGCCCTATAGCCAGCAAGTGTCAGAGCCACATGGAGACCCTGCCTGTGTCTACAAAGTCTGGACCCCTCACCCCCTTGCCACACTGCCTCAACTGGGTCATGTGGGGTTCAATGGGGGACAGATCCACCTTTGATTCAGTCCAGGAGGGCAGGGAGTGGGGCCATCATCAGTGAGGTTCCCAAAGGTGCCAGGAAGAAAGGGAGCCTACCTGCAAGATTCCTGTACTGGAGTGTTCAGAGAGGCCGGTGTAAGACATGACCATGAAAGCTAGTGACAGGTGACAGGGCATGAGAAAAGGTCATCACTTTAGAAATCCCTCTTGTCCTGTTGAACTCCAGGCTACCAAGAGCTAGCTCTGTCTTTTGGCATTGGCTTTTTAGACATAAGAACTTCAGGGGTACCACTCAGGGTCTGAATACATTCTATCCATTAAGACCCTAATAACAGCTAGTATTTATGAGCACTTACTGTTTGCCAGGTGCTGTGGTTAAGCCTCTATGGGCATAATCGCACTTAATCCTCACAAAAACAGTGAGAATGGTGCTGTATCATCATTCCATAGAAAGACTGAGAAAGATGACCTGTCCCAGGTGGCAGAACCTGCACACGATGGGGCTGGGGGTGATTCCAGAGTCGTATTCCTAGCCCTCAGGGTGCTTAGCCTCACCATGGGGCTCTGCTCTCCATGGTCATCAAGGGGACCTGGGCTTGATCTCTGAGGGAGCCGGGGCTTAGAAGATGCCCACCAGAGACACTTTAAGACATGTGGCCTTGATTCCACCTACCACTCCCACCTTGTCTGTTTGCAGATAACAGGCCCCTGGAGAAGCCTGTGGATTCGATATGGGTATGACCCCCGAAAAAACCCAGATGCCAAGATCTACCAAGTCCTTGATTTCAGAATCCGTTGTGGAATGAAATACGGTAAACGTTACTAACCACCCTTGCTTTCTGTCTTTCACTCTTTTTATCTTTCAGTTTCTACCTTTCTGTTTTGCGATAGGGAATTTACTCATGTAGAGAAGGTAAAGAAAGCCCTTCTCCTCTTGGTGAAAATCTGTTGGATGCAGGACAGGGTGAAAATTAGGGTCTGAGCTTTAGTCCTGGCTCCACTGACCTTGGGCAAGTCACTGAACCTCTCTGAGCCACGCATTCATTTATTCAGCAATCATTTTGGCTCATGTAGTATGTGCCCACCATCCTGTAAATGCCCACTCACTAGGACTGCAACACACTAGTGTGTGAGCATGCAGCCCTACATGGTAAGTGCCAGAAAATATCAGCTACTACTGCTCTTGGTCCTGCCTCCACTGTTTGCCAGAACAAGCCTCAGTACCCACCTTCATTTGATGTGATTCCCTTGTCTGCAGGTTACACCCCCAGCGACATGCCTGTCAAGACAAAACGTAGTGCCTACAACTACAGCCTCCCCATCACTGTCAAAAAGACATGTAAGTGGCTTCAACTCATTTGGAAGAAGAACACCCTGCATGGAGGAGTATTTGCCTTCACACTGAAGCTGAGGACAATGGGGCTTCTGGAGACGGGGAGGAGGCTTCCAAGGCAGTCACTCTAGGACACTGCTGGGTACCCTTCAGAGAGGAGAAGAAAGGGTGGGCAGCATAAAGGGTTGGGAGAGCCCCACGCACCCACCCCTGCCACATTTCAGAGCACTGCCCTTGTGTCCTCGCAGCCAACCAGCTCACCATGCAGGACCTGCAGCAGGGCCTGGGCCCGTCAGGACTGGCCAGTGCACGGAAATCAATCTCGAACAAGTATAAGCTCAAGGTGAGTGCCCCGTGAGCCCTGAGGGAGAACTGCTGAGGTCAGCTTCTTGCCTAGCTGAGGGTGATGCTTTTGAGCACCCCCTTGCACAGGGCACCCATGAATCACACCGGAGAAAGCCTCTGACTGGAGGCATCTCTGCCTATCTTTGGGGATAGCTTCCAAAAACTAAGGGTAAAAATTCTGAGTGCGAACCACGTGGGGCAGGTGGGTACTGAGGACCTTTCTGTACAACGAGATGCAAGTCATAGAGGCGTTGTGACACCAAGAATTATGTGTGCTGGCCCTTGGTGTGCCTGGGCCTCAGTGAGGCATGTGCCTGCTCTGGAAAGGTCAGACTCAGGCAACTGCATGAGCATGGGGCTGAACAGGGCTGTCCGGCCCCAGCTGTGCTCTGGGCACGGAGACTGTGATAAACAAGAACTCAGGCCTGCCCTCATGGGGTTATTTTTCACTCTATAATCGCCAATGGGAAGTGGCAGTTGCCAGAGGCCTTTCCCTCGCTGGGGCTCCTATGAGCTGCTCCACAGTCCTGGGGGAGGCAGAGCAGTGTGTGTCCTCCTCCCTGGAATTACCTGCTTGATACGTCAGATGATATAGAGTATAAGTGCAGCAGAGCAGGCTGGGGCAGGAGGGAGAGGGGCAGAGATGGGGCAGCAGGAGTGGACACAGCTGTCACAAGTGTCATCTGTACTCCCGGTCCCTGGCCCAGCCTCCCATGTTTTCCAAACCTCTGCTCTTCTCAGTGAGGGGCAACCAGGTCATCGCCTGAGGGACCTTTTTTCTCGAGGATTCTCTAATCTCTCAGTGGTTATCCCTCCCTCTAGAACTTCTCCCTAGGCAGAGAAAAGAGAAAGCTGATACTCATTAAACTCTGCTTTCCTCCAGAAAAAAAAGTCAAGGCAGCATGCAGAGATACATAAGCTGTACAGTCAGAAGGCAGCAAGAAATAAAAAGGGCAGACTCTGTAGGAAGGCTCAGAAAGTTAAGTCCAGTACAAGGCTAATCCCACACTGTACACCGTAAGCACCATGGCCTGCCACATGAACATTTTCATGGTTCACGGTGGCCCAGCCTACCTGGCTGCTTTGTTTGTCACTCCGAGAACTTCCAGGAGAGTTGGAGCTTGTCTTCACATGTGCTCACTGACGTGGCCCGTGTGCCCTGCCTATATCCTGGGAGAAGAGATAGGTCTGCTAGGTCCTGAGAACCTGTCCATTCCTTGGAGAGGGTCTGGGGGAGCCTGCAGTATGAGGACGTGCAGCACTGGCCAGCCTCAAAGAAAAGCTCCTGCTAACCTTCCTGCATCTTGCCCTACCTTTCCCCAGGACTCCGTCTACATCTTCCGGGAGGGGGCCCTGCCGCCTTATCGACAGATGTTCTATCAGTTTTGCGATTTGAACGTGGAAGAGTACGTATATCAGGGTCCCTGGGACACTAAGGTGGAAGGTGGGACTGGGCTTAGTGCTAGAAACTTAACCACGGGTGGCATAAACCATGGGGAGGTGGTCACAGACCTCCTGCAGAGAGCTCATCCATAGGTGGAGGCCTTGGATCCCAACTGAACTCCCCAAATTCGTGTAAGATTCTAAATCAGAAACCTGTAAAACAACCTTTGATCTGTTTGTGGTGTTTAAGATGTTGGATTGGTGGGGGCAGGGGAAGTTAGGGTGGGGAGATGGGAAAAGATGAGGGAGGATGTGAAATATGGCTTGCAGATCTGGTGGAAGCTGTGACCTCTTTCACCAGGAAACTGCATGAGCACACCCTGAGCTTTGCATATAGTTGAAGGGGTCCAGGGACACACAGGTTAGGGACCCAGCTGGAGGGTACAGATTTAATGGATGTTCTTCATTATCACAGTCATCTTTGTAGAGTGTACCATAGCACTATTTTTTTCTAAACACAACCCTGCCTGTGCAAGAGCCTTCAACCAGCAACTATACAGAGACCCCAAGCCTTCTCCCTTTCCCCCAGGTTGCAGAAGATCATTCACCGCAATGATGGGGCAGAGAATGTGTGCACAGAACGGGATGGGTGGTGTCTCCCCAAGACCAGCGACGACCTGAGGAATGCCATGTCCAGCATGATCCGGCAGGCCCTCCGCTCCAAGAGGCCTGGTGAGAGCCGCTCACTCAGGGGGAAGGGAGGTCTCAGATGCTTGAAGACCCTGGGCCTTGGGTCTACTCTGGGGACAGAGCAAGGGTCATAACAGAATACCCTAGAAATTGCAGCCAAGTGGGAAGGAAGCCTTGTGAACCACTATCCCCTCAGGCTGCCCATGAGACTGCTTAGGCTTAGGGTGGGCATCATGGCACTTAGAGCTAGACCCAGGGGCAGGGGCTGCCGCAGAGCTGGAGCTGAAGTCCAGGCCTCCACCTGGTACTTGGCAGCAGCCTGCATCTTCCTGCACATGTGGGCATGTTCTGCCTTTGCCTTTTTCCACTAGGGGCAAGTAGGAGCCTGTGGTACCTGTCGCCCTGCATGCATAGGCTCCACTAAGCAAGGGATGGATAGGGGAAATGAGAAAGGAGGGTGAGCTGTTTCTGGGCTAGGGGCTTGATGATGCTAGGAGCCTAAGCAGGGGAGTCCCAGAGTTAGCAACCCCCCACAGATCTGACAAGGGCAGGGGTTCTTAGCCTTGGTTGGGCCACAGCCCTCTGTGAGAATCAAATCAAGGCTAGGGACCACTCCACAGAAAAATGCCCCCACACAAAATGGTGTGTACATTCTTAGAGACCTGTGGACACCTGACACCTGCCCATGGCTCCTCTGGGGAGTGGTTTTCAAACCTGCCTGCTCCAGAATCCCCTTAAGTTTCTGTGAGACTCCAGATTCCAAGGTCCACCCCATATTTCATGAAGCAGTTTGTCCAGGGCTTGAGCCCAGACACCTGTCATTTGAACAGGCTCTCGGGAGGCTTGGGAACATACTCTGGGCATCTAGGGGTGCTCAGGAAGCCCTACCTCGAGACACGCATGACCTGTTCCCTTCTGGCCCCAGCTCTCTTCTCCAGCCCCACTAAGGATGAGGCAGGGAAAGAGCAGCTGACGTACGAGTATGGAGACGATGACGAGGACGACGAAGAGGAGGAGGAGTTCAAGCCTTCAGATGGCAGTGAGAACGAGATGGAGACAGAGATTCTGGACTATGTGTGATAAGCCCTGAGGCAAAGCTGGTGTCCAGGGCTCAGGAAGTCAAGGTTCCTTGGTGCCCCCAGAGTAACCAAAATGGCCCTGGGAGACTCTTCGCAAGAAAGCTGGGATCCCAGCAGTGGCCACAGCTGACACTGGTCCTGGCTGTGACCTGATGCTTGGTGCTGCCCTCTGACCCTGCGTGGTTGGGGACATTCCTTGAAGGTTGTGCCCTAGCTTGGCACATCCATGAACAACCCAATGTCCAGCAAACTGAGCCTGTGCTCACCACCTTTCTCTGGCTGAGACCAGAAAAAAATGGAAACGGAGATGGTACAGCTAGGGAAGGGGTGGTCTTGGCTTTGGCCTCATGACTGAAACCTTGATCTGTGGTCACAGATGGCCAAAGACTGTCCTTGACTTTGGATCCCAACTATTTAGGGTAGTGTTGGCAAAGGCCAGGCCCATCTGGAATTGTCCTTATTAAATATATTTTCCTCCAGACTCTTGGTGTCTTAATAGGGATGTTGGAACCAGAGGAGTTTCCTCTTGCCTTGGGGTGTAGGGCTCCAGTGGTACCATCATTTGTTCATACATTCGTTTGTTCAGTGACCTCACACAGGGCAATGCAAGGGTGGTCCTCCAGGTGGGTAGGTGAGAGCAGCCAGAAGTAACCCACACCCCAGATCCAGAGTCCTGTAGCCCTCGGGTTCATCTCGTACTTTTCCAAATGGATGAGCTCCTGAAGAGGGTCACTGTGAAATAGACCTGGTGTCTCACAGATTTCCCAGTGTGGAACCACAGGAGCACATATGCTCCACCACTGGGGAGAAGCCTGCCCTCTCTGGAGACCACTCGGGCACTCCATGTCCCTTTCCTAGCAGAGAGCACCTGAGCCAGAGATGACCCTTCACTGTGCACTTGCTATGAGCATCACTCCCTTCAGCAGCTTGGGGTAAAGATTCCAAAGTCAAATGCCTCGGGCGGGTTCCCATCTTACTGAGTGGTACTCCTTGAAAATTCCCTCCCATGATAACTTCAGAAGTTCCTACAATTTACCTCTTCTGCCTGAAGGGGCCTTTCGGGCTTCATGCCTTGTAAATAAATGAGAAGCTGGAAGCCAACTGGCTCCCTGAGGGCTCCATGCTCTCTATGAAGGCCCAGCCACCTTCAGAAGCAGCTGTTCCCTAAAGGCAAGCTGGGCCTTGGGCCCACTTAGGCTTCCCTGTTCTCATAGTTTCAAAGTTTTCCTCAAGGGCTCTTGGTGTTCTGTCAGTGGATCTCAGTTGGGGCTACTCCCACTTCTGAGCCTTGCCATTCCCTGTGAACCACAGAGGGACAGCATCTAGGTTCTGTTTCTCATCTTCCCAGAAGCCTCTGGTCCCAGTGCCCATCTGAGAAAGGTGTACCTGGGGCGGGAACAATCCCTCACTTCCCCAAATCTGCAACGAAGCCTTAAACTTACTCAGATTCCAGAACAGCGGTGAGGGCAGGGGAGGTGGATGTGGGTGGGCAGCGGGTGAGTGTCTTTTTACCATATAATCTACCTGTGAAGAGGGCTTCTCAATTTCTTTAAAAAAAGAAAAGTTCTTCAGTGATTCCCTGTAAACCCACCAAACCGGAACCCACTGCCATTGAGTTGATTCTGACTCAGCAGCCCTACAGGGCAGAGTAGGACCCACAGAGTTTCCAAAGCTGTAAATCTTTACGGAAGCATCTTGCCTCATCTTTCTCCTGCACAGCAGCTGGTGCATTCGAACCACCAAGTTTTTGATTACCAGCCGAATCCCTTAACCACTGCACCACCAGAGTGCCTTCCCATGTAAACCAGTTGCTGTCAAATCAGTTGCAACTCAACGGAGACCCCACATGCGTCAGGGTAGAATGGCACTCCATGGGATTTTCGATGGCTGAGGAGCCAATGAGTGAACGCAAACCTTCAGATTTTCAGTGAGCAGCTAAGTGCATTTGTGCCACCCAGGGGCTCCTGATTCCCGTGAGAAACCTAAATACCTACTTTTTTTCCCCTAGCTTTTTATTATGAAAAATGTCAAAAATACACAAGAGTATTCAGAATTGTACAATGAGCCCCATTTGCTCATCACCCAACTTTGAACAGTTAACCACATTTTGCTGATTTTGTTGCATTTATTTCCCCATGTTTTTGTTTTGGTTTTGTATTTATGGGAATTGTTTTAAGGAAATCCCATAATTTATTTTTACCTCTAACACATTAAGCTTTTTGTTTTAACAGGACTACAGTGCTTTTACCACACTGTCTTAGTTACCTCGTGCTGCTATAACAAATACAAGTGGATGGCTTTAACAAACAACTTTCTTTTCTTACAATTTAGGAGGCTAGAATTCACGGTGCTTGCTCTAGGGGAAGGCTTTCTCTATCTGCTCTGGTGGAAGGTCCTTGTCTCTTTTCAGCTTCTGTTCCTTGGTCCCTTGGAGATCTTCATGTGGCCTGACGTCTATCTTCCCCTATCTCTGCTTGCTTGCTTAGTCTGCTCTTTTATATCTCAAAAAGATTGAAGACATACCTTACACTAATACAAGGAGCTTTGGTGGTATAGTGGTTAAAGCATTCAGCTGCTAACTAACATGTCAGCAGCTCAAACCCACCAGCTGCTCCATGAGAAAGATGAGGCAGTCTGCTTCCGCAAGATTTTCAGCCTTGGAAAGCCTGTGGGGGCAGTTGTACTCTGTCCTAACGGGTCACTATGAGTCAGAATCAACTCAGTGGCAGTGAGTAGGTTACACTAATACTGCCCCATTAATGTAACAAAGAAACCCACCAAGCAATGCTGCAGAAGAAAGGGCTGGCCATCTGCTTTAGTAAAGATTACAGACAAAAAAAAAAAAAGAAAAGAAAACTCTGTGGAGCAGTTCTTCTAACTCTGACAGCAACAGGTGTTTTGTTTGTTTATTTGTATGGCCATACTGGAATTCTTGGGTGGTGGAAGCAGTTCATGCACTAGGCTGGTAACCAAAAGTTTGGAAGTTCAAATCCACTCATAGGTGCCTTAGAAGAAAGGCTTGGAATCTATTTCTAACAAATCAGCCATTGAAAACACTGCAGGGTGCAGACCTACTTGGACATACATGGGGCTGCCTGAGTCAGAATCTATTGGATGGCAACTGTGTTTGTTGTTTTAAGGACATGTTCAATCCAGGCATTATCAATAGTGGTTAAAAACCAAACATTAGATGAAAGAATGATAGGCTAACATTTAGGCTAATGGCTGATCCCAAACCACCCAGGGAACCAATATGTCCTTGTTACTGTTGTGTGCCATTGACCTGATCCCATGTGACAGAGTAGGATCACCCCATAGGGGTTTCCTACGCTGACATCTTCATGGAGGCAGATCATCAGGTTGCCTCTCCACAGAGCCCTTGGTAGATTTGAACTCCTTGCCTTGTGGTTAGCAGCTGAACGAGTATGTTCTTAGCAGGTACACAGTGGTGAATTTTAGAATTGTGTTATTCTACATTGATTAGCTGGGATTCTATAAAGGACTTTTCCTTACCTGTTTGACGACCTTGAAACACCATTTAGACAGGAAAGGTAGGAAAACACTTGACTGCTTTTCCCCTTTAATCCATGTTCAGAAAGATAGGTTCAGATTTATTTCAGCCAAATTGCACTTGCTTTTTGATGCCCAGCTTGTCCCATCTTTGGCCATAGGCAGCCTTCACATCAGTTGCTGTAGTGTTTTGACACGACTCCTTTGATGCCTTCCTTGCTTTCCAACTGCCGTGACGCACAGGCTTCACTGTGCATCTCCTGCCCCTGACCTGGGCTCAACCGTCTCCTAGGGAAAGACCTGGAAATAATGTAGAGACCACAATCTGGGCTCCAGCTTATTTTTGTTTGTTTGTTCATTTTTTACTCTTAGACCTTTTCAGTAGATAGAACTTTGACATAGGTATTTTTTTACAGAGAAAAAAATGAACTTAAATTACGACTTTATACAACTATTTTCTCTTTAAAATGTAAGTTTATAGGTTTGCTTCTTTGATTTTACACTTGTTTGTTTTTCCATTTATGCTGCAAATCTTGATTCCTAACAGCATTAGCAAGATTACGTATTTTCTTGCTTCTGCAAGAGACATACTTTTTTTTTTTTTTTAAGTGTGATTTGGGTGAAAGTTTACAGAGCAAATTCACGTTTCATATGGCAGTTCACATACACTTTGTCTCATGACATTGACTACAATTTACCACAATGCAACAGCTCCCCTCCCCCTTCCTCCCCATAGTTACTTCTTCCCTATGTCCCTCCCTTCATACACTCCTGCCCCCTGAACTGTCTTCCTGTGCACACACAGCCCTTCTATGCTCCCATGATTGTTCTCTCCAAGGAGTGTATCTATCTAGTATAAATGTCTACCTTATATGCCTGTCTTTTGTTTGGCTGGAAGCCACAGGTGTGGGTTCAATTCCAGACCTGAAGGGCAACTAGAGGCCATAGTCTCAGTGGTTCCATCAGGTTCTATCAGACCAGCACACCTGTTCCCTTTTTTTTTTTCCCAAAAAAATATTTTGAGTTTTGTTCCACATTGTTCTCCCACTCTATCCAGGATCTCCTACATAGATCCCCCTCCGAGTGGTTGACAGTGGTAGCCAGGCACCATCTAGTTCTTCTGGTCCCAGTCATATAGGCTGAGGATAGCATGGTATACCAGTCGCTTGGACTAATTGTTTCCATGAATCTTTGGTTCTCTTCATTCTTCTTTGCTCTGGTTGAGGAGAGACCCATCACTGCATCTAGATGGCTGCTTGCAAGCTTTTAAGATCCCAGTTGCTACTTGCCAAAGTAGGATGTGGAGCAATGTTTTGGGTAGTATGTTATGCCAATTGAGCTTGATGTCCCCTGTGACTATGGTCCCAAGCCCACAGGTCCTACTACTCGTTCCCTCTTGGTAGCTGGCTGTGGCCAAGAAGTGACTACAACCTTGCCCCTTGTCAGCTTTACTATACACCTGGGAATTCTTACAGAACATACATATACACTTGTAGAAACATTGTCTGCCAACCCTATAAATGGTCTTGGGCACACCGCACCCCTGCACAGACATACCTAATAGTTCAGCCTGTCTACCCATCTGTTGTTGTTGTTATGTGCCGTCGAGTTGGACTCGACTCATAGTGACCCCTCCTTGGGTTGCCAAGGCAGTATCACTATGGAAGTACATTGCCCAACCTTCCTTCCGAGGAGTGGCTGGTGGGTTTGAACTGCCAGCCTTCTGGTTAGCAGTCAAGTGCCTTAGGCACTATGCTACCAGAACTCCTGTCCACCCATCTATCCACCCATATATCCATATTTGCCTTCACTGACAACACAGTACTGTATGTGCAAAAGGGTTCATCTTTGTTGTCTATACCTCCCATGTACCTCTCTATGTCTTGCTCTTCCTCAATGCCACCATGTTGATCACTCACGTTTGGTACATTGCCCTTCTCTTCACCCAAATCAATACTTGTCTCTACCTATCTAACAGTGTTCCCTCCCCTCCCTTCCTACCCATGGTAACCAACAAAGAAAATTTCCTTCCATATATAAAGCTTTCCTTGACTTTTTACAATAATGGACTAACACAATATTTGTCCTTCTGTGACTGGCTTATTTCACTCAGCATAATGTCCTCCAAGTTCATCCACATTATGCAGTGTTTTGCAGATTCTATGTTATTCTTTAGGGTTGCATAGTATTCCATTGTGTGTGTGTACCATAGTTTAGTAATCCATTCTTCAGTTGATAGATACCTAGGTTGTTTCCATCTTTTGGCTATTGTAAATAGTGCTGCAATGAACATGGGTGTGCAAGATACATAAAATATTTTAAAATATAAAATACTATAACACTCACTGCTGTAGAATCAGACTTGACTCACAGTGACTCATATGATAAATTATATGTAAAATTAACAATAAATGATAGAAAATAACATGATAAAATTATAAAACTATTAAAGATTGTTTAAGGAGCTCTAGTGGTGTAGTGGATAAGGCATTTAAAAAAAAAACATTATTTGCTTATTGTCTATGTGCTATTAAATCAATTGCATTAGTTTTCTACTTTAGCTGCTAACTAAAAGTCAGTGATTTGAATCCACCAGCTGCTCCATGGAGAGAAAGATGAGGCAGTCTACTTCTGTAAAGATAGCTTTAAAAACCCGATGGGGGTATGAGTTGGAATCGACTCAGTGGCAGTGGATTATTAAAGATGGTTTAAGATTGCTTTGTAGTTTCTTTTTCCTTAGGATAAATCCTGCTACTTACATACAGTCATGTTTTCAAGTCACTTGAAGCAACAATTTTCTTGGTGTGGTTCACCCATCAACTTGGTATACAGTTGGGCTCTCTACAATTTTTAAATGGCTGTTTCTCTATCTGTAAACAAATTTTCAGTATTCCTTTTAGAGTCTCTGGTAAACAGTAAGAAAAAGAACTGTGAAGCCTGGTACTGTGCTAGCAACTTTTGACACAATGTCTTCCTGAGAGAGGGTCTCAGTGGTCCTGCTATATCAATAGGGAAATGTGAGGTTCAGAGCTAAAGACAAATGCCAAGTCATGTAGCTGGTGAGTAGCAGAGGCTGGGCTCCACCTGTATCTGATTTGCAATATCTGCCTTTTCAGTAATTGCCACAGGTGTGTTTGTCATCACAGGATGTGCTCCAGACAGAAAATAATAATAATAATAATGTTTTCAAACATTATTTGCTTAATGTCTAGTTCTATTAAATCAATTGGGTTAGTTTTCTACTTTGGCGATTACACTAGTCCAAAACTTTGGTACTCCAGACTGAATTTTTTTTTTTCTGGAGTCATCAACTCGCCAAGCATCCTGTGAAAGCTGTGGAATTTTCCACAGAGGAATTTGCATACACAGGAATAAGTGCACCTGACTTCAGGGGGAGCCTGAGGCCCCACAGTCTCTCCTTGCACTTCCTAACAGGTCCATGGACCTGGATTCAGAACTCCAGGCTTTTGGACGACATTTTCTCCACCAAAGTTACCACAGAGCAGCCAAGTATAATGCCCACGCTACTCCTGGTTTGTCTGATTGTCCCTCCCAGCCTTTCGTGGGCTCGAAGGAGTCACAAGGTAGCCCTAGAGAGGAGCAACACAACCTAATCTGTGGCACAGCAGGCCTCACACAATCCACACCAGGCAGTTATAGGGTACAGAGGGGCCTACGTGCACAGATCAGCTCCCTGCACAGCTTGGGGGTCCCAAGGTTTGTCAGAGGTCACAAGACCTCTGGAATTGGTTGATCTTTTTGGACTGAAATTAATCCTCCTAAAATTCACTTTACAAAAACAGCATCAACCAGTGGACACATCCATAAATGTAGCCAGCTGGCATTTTTTTTTCTCATTAGATAGACACTGCTAGTCTCTTCTGGATATTTCTGGAAGAGTCCTTTGGTTTTCCTTTAGTATTTATTGAGTACTCAGTCTGTGCAGGACTGTGTAGGGTACTGGGTGCCCTGTGGTTTACTTAATGTTCCCTTGTTAAAATGTAGGCCTCCTTCTTTCCCCTCTCCCCTGATTCCTCCTCCTTCTCTTTTCCTTTCCTTCTCAACAACTGTAAATAACACTGCAGTGAACACAAAAGGTTATTCCCCCCTGTATTCAAAATGACTTTCTTCAGAGCAGGTTCTCAGAATTGAAATTGAGGCCAGAGGTGTGAGCTGCCTGATCCATTTCCTCATCCAGGATAGCATCCCGTCAACCATTTGCTCCTCAGTCCTCACTCTCCCCTCCCCGCTGAACCCAGGCTGTTCCCAGCTCCAGCCTACACGGACTTTTTCTTCATGGGTCCTAACTTCTCCATCTCAGCCAGCAGCCACTGACCCCTCCCTACCTTTCTCTAGCTGTTCTCTGCCCACTATGCAACACAAAAGATCAGGGACCTGTAGCACAGACAGACGTGGATCTGTCAATCCATGTGGGCCCTGGCTACAACCTTGAGGGTGGTGTAACTGGGGCTGGAGGCTGCATGAGAAGCACTGGCTCCAGGAAGGCAAAGTGGGTCATGGCTGCTCCTGCCTCCCCTTCTAGCTTCCAAACACATCATTGAGAACTGCTGTGCATTGTGGGGTCTGCCACATTATGTCCTCTGCAGAGACTTGGATAGGTTTGAACTCCTTCAAGGTGGACAATGTCTTTCAGGTTTATTGTAATTTTTTAATAATCTTGTCTTGTTGCCAAAATAATACACATTCATGAGAAATATTAGTGACCTCTTGCTTTTATCTCATCTGAGTCTCTCTCTCTTTCTCTCTCTCTCTCTTTGTCAGAGTATGCCCCGGGGCCTTTGCTCATTCTGTTGCTTATTGCCAGAAAGCCTCCCTCTTCCTTTCTTTCCCTCTTTTAGTCTTGACCCTCAAGACTGGCCCTCCACACCATGCCCACATGGAGCTTCTTGTCCTTTTCCATCCCAGACCTCATCATACCGACCAATGACATCTCCCCCACAGCCTGTGAGATCATTGAGAGTGGGGTTATCTTGTACTGCTGTGTGTCCTGTCCCTCAGCCCAGCCTGCACACCCAGAGGGCTCAGTCAGCTCATGGAAATAACAAGAGGCAGCCCCACTGGTGCCCTGTAGCATGCAGCCATCCCTGCCCCAGAAGGCACATGTGAAGTCTCACACTGGAGGAATTCCTGTAAAACTGGCACTCTTGGGGGCGGGCAGGGCATGGAGACAAAGCATGCCCACTTGTCTGATGAGGAAACCAAGCCCTGTAAACGAGTCAGACTTCAGGTCACTGTTTCATCTTGAAGGACCCTCTCACACTCTGAGCCACCTGCTTCTGTTCCTAGGTGGGCAGCAGTCTGCACAGGTGCACTTTTGGCACCAGGACACCTGGGAGCAGCTGGCACTGGGAAAGAGCTTGACTGAACCCATGTGTACACCTGTTTGTGTGTATGTATGTGTACAACCTTGGCACAGCCTGAGCCCTGCTGGGAACAGCAGGTGTCTCCTCGCCCAAGGACACAGGCTGCAGCATAGCCAACCTGGAGGAAGGGATGAAGGCGGAAGGAGGGAGCCGCCTCGGGCTCCATAAATACCCACAAGTCAGGCAGGAGAGCCACCCGGAGGCAGGCACGCACCATGGGGCGCCTAGAGCTGGTGGTCGTTGGCCTCACCTGCTGCCTAGCAGTGGCAAGTTCGGCAAAGGTAAGCCATTCACTATCATTCTACTAAACCAGATTCTGGACACTGTGGGCACTGGGTGTAGAGGAGGGTAAGACAGACAGATGGAAACACAAGCAGAAAGCACCAGCCAGAGAAGCAGAGCCCAGTAACAATAACAAGAGCAGCTGACATTTACTGGGCACTTACTCACTGCTGGGGCCTGTGCTGTTCCACAGGGGTTCATTCACCCTGCAACTGAGGTCATCCATCCCACAACTCAGGCTTTGTTGTTGTTGGGTGCTGTCAACTCGACTTTGACTCATAGTAACCCCATGTGACAGACCAGAGCTGCCCCGTGGAGTTTTCTAAGCTGTAATCTTGACTAAAGCAGATCATCAGGTCTTTCTCCCAAGGAGCCTTGGTCTGGGTTTGAACCACTAACCTTATGGTTAGAAACCAAGCGCTTAATCGTTGCATGACAAGGGCTCTTTATAATTCATGTTGCCAGATATAATATGGAATGCCCAATTGCATTTGAATTTCATATAAACAACCAATCATTTTTTAATATAAATGTATAAATATATCCCACACAATATTTTGGATATACTTACAGTACAGTGGTTAAAGCATGTGGGTGCTAACCAAAAGGTCTATGGTCCAAACCCACAAACTGCTCCATGGGAGAAAGATGAGGCGGTCTGTTACCGTAATGATCTCAGCCTTGGAAACCCTATGGGGCAGTTCTAGTCTGCCCTGCAGTGTCACATGAGTCAGAACCAACTCAATGGCAGTTAGTTACAGTTTTTTGAAATTCAAATTTAACTGAACACCTAGTATGTTCATTGGCTAAATATGGCAACCCTGCCTACAACTCCTTCTAATGTCACTGCTTTCTGTATTTTACACAAGGGGAAATGGCCCCAGAGAAGATAAGCAATTTCCCAATAACACACAGGCCCCAAGTGGCTAAGCAGGAGTCTGAAACCCAGTGTACTCCAACCCCCGAGCCTGGAGTCTGGATCCCAATGTAACTTCTATCTCATGTTCCTCCCAAGGGAGAATTAACAAGCACCTGTCTGTGCCAGCTCCCCTCCAGGCCTAGAGTTAGGAGGCACAGGTATGCTCCTGGGGCATGTGTAAAACCTATCCTCCATAACTGCCCTCTGGGGTGAGTGTGAGGAACAGAGCTAGAGATGCCTGGAACAGAACTCCCAAAGCTACAAGCAGACTGTAGGTACCCAGTTCAGCCTCTGCCTCAGCCAGGTTTGCATGGCGGACCTCAGCACCCAGGAAATGCAGGGATCCCAGGATGAAGGGATCTTTGCTTCTGGGAGCAAGATGCTGGCTCTTCACTCCTCACCCCTGCTGTCTCTGGCCTCTGGAACTCCTCCACACAGCCAGGCCCTGCTCTCAGCTCTCCTGTGCCCCAGGGACCTGCCCCTTTGTCCTTTGTCTAACCTGGAAGTTCAGGCACTGGCCCTGGGTCACTTCTATTATGGGGATTTTCTCTCTTTCTTGGGGATACTGCTTTTCAGGAGGGCTAAAAGGTGCCAAGTTTCCTCCCCATTGCTAGGACAGCCCAGCATCAGCGATTCCTTTGGTGCCAGGGTCTTCAGACCCTTTGGCTCCCATCTCTGTGACACAGAGACACTTCTGGGAGGTGGCTTCCCAATCCCCAGGCCTTGACTTGTTCCTCAAGCCCCTCCCAGGTATCAGGACATAATGCCTGAAGAATGGGGACAGGAGGTTCATCCTGGGGCTCCAGGGAAAGGCCTGGCCCTGAGTCCACCTCCTGGACACCCCCCCACTCCCCTCCCCCGAGGCAGCCTGACAGGTATTGCTTCTGGCTCCTCTCTCTCCAGTTCTAGCCTGCCCACTCTCCCCTTCCCTGTGTGGCAGGGGACACCTATTAGCCTAGACTACAGATGGGGACTGGGGTCCCAGCTGGGCCTGGAGTGTAAGGCTGTCACACTAGAATCTGACCCAGGTGAAAGCCGCGAGCAGTGACCTGCCACAGCTACCCTCACAGGTGGCTCTGCACTGCTCCTGCACTCGCCCTGGTATGGGGAGCAGCCCTGGGAAGGGAAGAAGCACATGGCTGTGAAGTCAGACTGCCAAGTCCCAGCTGGGGACTTCCAACAGGAAAACCTCTGCGCCTCAGTTCCCTCCACTAGGAAATGGGCCGAGGACAGGCCCACCCTCCTGGACCCTGGTGGGGTGAGGAGCCTTAGCCCAAGGGAAAATAACTCAAGCAGACAGGATTCTCAGCTGCAGTTCTGACTATCCAGGGGTGGCCATGGGTAAGGGCAGGGCATCTTCCCAACAGGGAGCACAGAGGCTGTGAGGACTTGTGCATCAGACCATGAATCACCTGTGAGGACTGTAGGGTAATGAGGGAAAGGAGACATTGAGGGGCTCCCAGGAAGCTCAGGAAGGGGTGTGAAACATTCAGTTCATTCACCCAGTCTGGGCTGAGCGTCTGTCCCTGCTAGATCCCAGGAAGTGTCCCATCTGATCACACACAGGCAGGGGCAGATTGTCCAATAAGCGAGGTAAGCACGGGCTTACCTGTGCTTATGTACTAATCTGCAGTGAACTGTTCCACCTCTTTCTCACCAGGTGAAAACAAATGAAACTGTTCACTACAGGTTAGTTTTACGAAAAGCAAGTTGGACCCTGGGGAAGGGGGCAGTAAGCAACGTGGACAGGTGGTAGGGGCGCTGCCTTGGTCCCAGATGTCGACTTGCACGCCTGGCTTGAAGCTATCTCTGGGGAGCCTCTGACCACCCCGCAACTCTTCTGATTCTGAGCCTGCCTAACCTGCCTACATCTCCCCACAGCTGGGCGCAGTGTACACAGAAGGAGGCTTTGTGGAAGGCGTCAACAAGAAGCTCAGTCTCTTTGGTGACTATGTCGACATCTTCAAGGGCATCCCCTTTGCTGCTGTGCCCAAGGCCCTGGAGAACCCCCAGAAACACCCTGGCTGGCAAGGTGCGAGTGGGAAAGTGCTTGGTGGGGCCCTGCCTCTAGGGAGGTGCAGTGCTACAGCCACCCTCCTGTCAGTCATTCCTGTCACCTGCAGGCAACGGGGTAGCTGGGGTAGCTATGGATAATAATGCCTATGGCAAGTAGTTTTAAATTGCTGCGATCTCTCACAGCTGGTGATGAAACTGCAATGGCCAATAGAAACTGCTCATTGGTGCCCCCATTCAAGTGGCTCCCAGAGCACATGCCACACCTGCCATACCTTACACACACCTATGTCTGCAGGGACTTTGAAGGCCAAGGACTTCAAGAAGCGGTGCCTGCAAGCCACCATCACCCAGGACAGCACCTATGGGGATGAGGACTGCCTCTACCTCAACATCTGGGTTCCCCAGGGCAAGAGGGAAGGTGGGTTCACCCTCTGTGGTCCCTCGAGTTCCCCTCTCTCTGCAGAAACCCCCAAGAAGTCCAAGTCCCATGGCCAACTCCTCTGGTTATGTCTGGGGGCTCCAAGACAGAGCTTTCCTGAAGTCAGCACAGAGGTGGGATGGGATGGGAGGGGCTCTCACTGCTTCTCCCCAAGACTGGAACTGGGCAGACCTTTGGAGGCCACATATGTGTACCCCCTGTATGGCATTGGGGGGATTAGCAAAGAAGAGGGGCCATGGCAGGTGCCTCAGGGTCACTGGACCTTCTCAATCCTGCCCCAGTCTCCCGGGACCTGCCCGTCATGATCTGGATCTACGGTGGTGCCTTCCTCATGGGAGCTGGCCACGGAGCCAACTTTCTCGACAACTATCTGTACGATGGGGAGGAGATTGCCACGCGTGGCAACGTCATCGTGGTCACCTTCAACTACCGCGTTGGCCCTCTAGGCTTCCTCAGCACTGGGGATGCCAACCTGCCAGGTTCGCCCAGCACCTGGGGGCCCTGAGGGAGGGGGAGCTGTGTGTCCCATCTCCTGAGCTCTGAATCCACCAGAGAGACCCTCCTCAATGCCCCTCTGTTCAACCGTTTCCTGGCAGCTCTGGGGAAAGGCCCAGAATCCATTTCAGAGCTGGGAGGTGGAATTGAATCATGAGACTTGGCTGTGGTAAAATAAAAGACAGACAGATAGACACCCAGAGGGAGAGTAATGTAAGCAGGAACAGCAAAACCAAGTGAGTGAAATAGAAAAGGATGCACTCAGGCTGAGACAGAGGCCAGCAGAGAGACAGACAGAGGGACCAAGGCAGGGAGAGAGAGATGAGCAGAGACCAGGCCGTCCTGCCCACTCCCCCTTCTAATCTCCCAAATGTCTTTAGCACCCCACTCAGGCCTGGGCTCTAGAGCCCACCATTTGCCATTCCTGGGCTATACCTAGTTGAGAACGTATAAACTCAACCTACATTGATTGTATACTTACTGTGTGCCAGGCCCTGGGCCTCTCATCTCTAGTACCCCCATCTCCCAGTGGAGGGTCCTCAATGAATGCCCACCCCTTGTCCTGCCCCCAGGTAACTATGGCCTTCGGGACCAGCACATGGCCATCGCTTGGGTGAAGAGAAATATTGCTGCCTTTGGGGGGGATCCCAACAACATCACCATTTTTGGAGAATCAGCTGGAGGCGTCAGCGTCTCTCTGCAGGTTTGGGGTCCCCAACAGTTGAGGGTCTTCCTCAAAGGATTCTAGAGGGAAATTATGGGGTGGGCAGACAGGAGGAGGAGAGTGGGGCTGGAAGTGATGTGTTGGGTGTCCTTGGTTGACCCAGGGCTGGGGCAAACTGGGAAAGTCCTTGGTGACAGGACCTCTTTGTGTTGCAGACTCTCTCCCCCTACAACAAGGGCTTCATTCGGAGAGCCATCAGCCAGAGTGGCGTAGCATTGTGCCCTTGGGCCATCCAAAGGAACCCACTCTTCTGGGCCAAATCGGTAAGCAGAGGCACTACAGCCGACAGGCGTGGGCATGGATCAGGGGCTCAGTTTAGTTGCCCAGGAGGGAGTCTTCCACATTTCCATTTTTCTATCACAGACTATGTGCCCTTGTCCCCAGTCAGTCTGTGTCCTGAGTATCGGCCTCACTTTAACTGCCTACTACTTCCCCTTCTCTCCCCACAGATTGCCAAGAAGGTGGGCTGCCCCATGGATGACACCTCTAAAATGGCCAGATGTCTGAAGGTTACCGACCCACATGCCTTGACACTGGCTTACAAGATGCCCCTGGCTGGCATGGAGTGTAAGCAGGGTGGCCTGGCATGGGGGCATGGGGGCTCGAGGTGGGGGGAGGGCAATGCTGGGAAGGGCCAGGCTCCTGGAGAGGACAGGAAACTGTCCTGTATGAGCCTTAATCCGGTGACCAGCTTGCAGAATTCCCATCTGGGGAATTACCCCTTTGCAGGCTTCAGCAGGCCTGGTTGTAAGGGATGGAGAGGATCATTCTTCCTTATCTTCCATGGCTCATGGAGCCCCTTGGGAAGCTGATGAACATTTGGGCTGCACTCCCAGCAATGCACACATACACAGTTAGGGCACTTCATGGACCCCTAAAGCTTGCCTGGGAATCCATGGACCCCAGAACAAGAAATTTGTCCTATGTGACCATTCATTCATAAATATTACTGAGCATCTACTGTAGCAGTTGGTCCTCCAGCCCTAATAATCTATACCCTGGGAAGGCCTGGGGACCCATTAGCATAAAGTGATGAACGTCAGCATCGTCTGCCTGGTAGACTAGAATTCTCTCTTGCACATTCTGCTTACACAAAGTACAATGGGGCCCACCACATAACTTAATGTAAATTAAACTTAAAAGATTAGCAAAAATAAGGCCAACACTTTCTTTTGAAGCTTGGCTGAAGGAACAGCAAGCGGCCCCATTTCTGCCTGAACGGAGAACGGGCTGTGCTCTAATGAAAGTTGTGCATCTGCTCGCACTATATGGTTTTTAGGAGTTAATTCAGTAGTTCTGAAGGGGAATGTGGGCATCCATTTTTGGCTAATAGACTAGAACCCAGCCTTGGGAGAGGGGCACCTCTTTCTTCATAAGTGCCCTCAATTACTTCTCCCAAACTTTGTCCCAGTGAGAAGGGAAAGAGAGGAAAGGGACTCACACTGCCACAAGAGGACAGATGTGACCTTTGAACCAGTGGCTCTCTACGAGGGGTGTTCCCAAAGGGGACATGTGGCAATGTCCGGAGACATGTTTGGTTGTCACAACTATGGGAGGGGTGCTACTGGCATCCAGTGGATACAGGCCAGGGATGCTGTAAACTCCTGAAATACATAGGACAGCCCCCCAACAACATGGAATTATCTGGTTCAAAATATCAATAGGACCAAAGTTGAAAAACTCTACTCTAGATCAAAGAAGGAAGGAAATCCCCCTGCAGCCTTGTAGAGATGGGGTCAACTCCACCTTCAGAGGCAGAGGGGAGGGGAGGAGGATATCAGAAGATATGAAAATTGTTGGCTCTCCTACCCAGACCCCATGCTGTACTATCTGGGCTTCCTCCCTGTCATCGATGGAGACTTCATCCCCGATGATCCCATCAACTTATATGCCAACACTGCTGACATTGACTACATTATTGGCACCAACAACATGGACGGCCACGTATTTTCCACCATTGATGTACCAGCAGTTGACAAGACTAACAAGGATGTCTCAGAGTAAGCAGGAGGCATAGGGGCAAAGAACAGTGCTAAAGGCTGCTGGAAAGGAGTCAGCCTGGGGGAGGTCGTCCCAGAGGGGGCAGGCATTAGCAAAGGGTGAGGAAGTTAGCAATATGTTGGGGGGGGGTGGCTATCTATGGCTCTCTTCTAGGTAGGTGTGCAGGCACTCCCTGTTGGCCCTGGGTGGAGAATCCAGTGCCTGCTTGGTCTCTGTAGGGAAGACTTCTACAAGCTGATCAGCGGGTACACCATCACCAAGGGACTCAGGGGTGCCAATGCCACCTTCGAACTCTACACTGAGTCCTGGGCCAGTGACTCATCCCAGGAGAACAAGAAGAAGACCGTGGTGGAGTTGGAGACTGATGTCCTCTTCCTAATACCCACCAAGGTCGCCCTGGCCCAGCACAGAACCAATGCCAAGTAAGGATCTGGGATGAGAAGAACAGCTCTCTGGGGAGACCAGCCTGGGATACTGCACCTTCCTGCAAAGGCCTGGCCAATGGGTGGCTCACAGGTGTCGGGATGCCTGGGGAAACTGCACTCAGGTCCAACCACTTGTTCATCCTCCTTCTGCTTTGCCTAAGCTGGAATGGCTCCAGAGAGCCTCTCCTCCCCTTCCAGCCTCAGGGGTTTACAAACCCTTCCACGGTCCTCCACCCTACCGAAGCTTCCCACTGGGAGTTCTTAAGTCTATCCTCCATCCCTCACGCTGTGTAGATGGAGAGAATACTGGACAATGGATGGTCTGTGTTCGGTAATGCTCAAGGGCTTCTACGTTGCCCACTTTCAAAATAACTTAAGCTTGTAACCACATTGTTGTTGTGTGTTGTCAATTCCAACTCACAGCAACCCTATATGACGGAGTAGAACTGTGTCATAGGATTTCCTAAGTTGTAATCTTTATGGGAGTGGCTGGTGGGTTTGAACCGCTAACCTTTTGCTTACCAGCCAAGTGCTTAACCATTGAGCCACCAGGGCTTCTGTGACACATTAAAGATCACAATAAGCAGTCACCATCGAGTTGACTCTTAACGGTGACCCCATGTGTGTCAGAGTAGAACTGTGATCCATAGGGTTTCAATGGGTGATATTTCAGAAGTAGACCACAGGTTTTTCTTCCAGACCCCCTCTAGGTGGATTCAGCCTGCCAAGCTTTAGTCAACACCTGAGCACTTAACCATTGCAACACCAGGGTGCTTAAAAGGTTGTTGTTGTTATGTGCCATCAAGTCGGACCCGACTCATAGCAACCCCTCCTTGGGTTTCCAAGGCAGTATCACCACTGAAGTAGATTGCCCAACCTTCCTTCCAAGGAGTGGCTGGTGGGTTTGAACCACCAGCCTTCTGGTTAGCAGTCAAGTGCCTTAGGCACTACGCTACCATAACTCCTGCTTAAAAGGTAGCAGGACATAATTAAACCTAGAAGTTAGGCTTTGCAGCAACTGAGCAGTAAATTTAACTCTCAACTTCCTGTAGCCAAGGCAAAAGGGAAACAGCTGAAGGTATATACCTTGTCTAATGAAATGAAAAATACAAATTCATTTGGAGAGTAAAAATCTTTCTTGGTATTCAATTATAGGAGGAAGAGCCCTTTAATCTTTATGTAGAAGTGAGGGGATAAATACAATTAAAAAGCAGAATCTGTGAGTCTGGCCCACAGCTTTCCCTTCTCCAGAGGGAACAACCCTAGTTCCTTTGTGAGTCTGGTGGGAATTCCCCAGCCTATCCCATAGACCTACACACTCTTTTTGGCCCATCTCTGGGCTGGATGATCCAGGTGAGCATCCCACCAACCTGGATGGTCACTCCCTCTCATCCTCAGGAGTGCCAAGACCTACACATACCTGTTCTCCCACCCCTCTCGGATGCCCGTTTACCCCAAGTGGGTGGGGGCCGACCACGCAGATGATATCCAGTATGTCTTTGGGAAGCCCTTTGCCACCCTTCTGGGCTACCGGACTCAAGACAAGACTGTCTCCAAGAACATGATCGCCTACTGGACCAACTTTGCGAGAAGTGGGTAAGGTGTAGGGTTGAGCCCCGTCCAGAGAGGACATAGCTACAGAAACCATGGCCCTGCAGGCCTGGGGTCCCTGCACCCTCACTTACCCACTGTGAGACTGGGCAAGTTATGTAATGTCCCTGAACTCAAGTGTCTCCATCTACCAAGTGAGGATAAGAGCTACCCTCACATGCCCTGTTCTGCACCAGGCCTTTAGAGCACTCAGGCCAGTACCCAGTACACAATGTGGCACTGTTGTTAGGATTTAGCTTGGAGCAAGGGAGGATTACCTAGGCATGTGAGAGAGCAGAGCTGGGTGAGGGGCAAAGTTCTCCAGCCTTCTGTGAGCCTGCAGCCCTCATCCAGACTCCTCTCTCTCTGCAGGGACCCCAACATGGGCCACTCGGCTGTCCCCACACACTGGTATCCCTACACACTGGAAAATGACAACTACCTGGAGATCAATAAGAAGATCGATGGCAACTCCATGAAGCAGCACCTGAGGACCAGTTACCTACAATACTGGACCCTGACCTACAAGGCACTGCCTACAGTGACTAGTGGGGAGGCTGTCCCCGTGCCCCCCACAGACAATTCTGAGGCTGTCCCCATGCCACCCCAGGATGATTCTGAGGCTGTCCCCGTGCCCCCCCAGGATGATTCTGAGGCTGTCCCCGTGCCCCCCCAGGATGATTCTGAGGCTGTCCCCGTGCCCCCCCAGGGAGATTCTGAGGCTGCCCCTGTGCCCCCTACGGGTGACTCTGAGGAGGCTCAGATGCCCATAGTCATTGGCTTCTAATGTCCTATGACACTTGGCCCCAAGAGGCCATACAGGTGGGGACCTCAAGGACCACTTGCCCTCCCATGCTCTTCCTGAATAAAGCCTTATCCTTCTGTGTTTGGCATCTTTCTTTGCTCCTAAGACCCAGCTAGAGGAAGGAGGGGCAATCATTTATCTTTACAGCACCAGGAGCTGGGCTGAACACTTTACACCCAGGATCTTGGCCAATTTTCCAAGCTCCCAAGAGGTCGATATTGCTAACTTTATTTTAGAGGGGAGGAAACAGGACTGGAAACATTATATGGCAGATTCAACATTGAGATTCAGGCACAGGTCACCCCAAAGCCTGCCCTCCTTCTTCCTAACCAGAGTGTGGGCTACTAATGGGCTAGCCTCTGGCCACAATGGGTGGGTAAGGTGGGAGTGGCAACCACAGAGGGGAGCTGGGCTCTCTGAGAGCAGATGGTGGCCTCCTCTGGAGCCAGTGGAACTCAGCTACCTGCCTCCCAAGTCCTGGGGACAGGATGCAGAGTGACCTCCGTATTCTCATTGGGTCTGGGGAACCAGGTTCTGTTCCTCCAGGTGAATACTGGTCAAAGAGAACAAAAACCACAGTGGATGTTCAGAAGCAAAATGTGTAAGATGTATGGGGTATTGGGTACTATATCCCCCTTCCATGCAGTGGTCTTAACAGTGCCCAGTTGCTGTGGCAGAGTAAGAGGGGCAGGTGACAGAAATGAGACATAGAGCCTGCTTTAATTACCTAGAAGGAGCTCTGGTGGCATAGTGCCTAGGGCATGTAACTGCTAACCCATCAGCCACTCCACACAAGGAAGGCTGGGCAATCTACTTTCGTAAAGATTTACTGTCTTGGAAACCCAAAGGGGGTTGCTATGAGTCAGAATCGACTCGATGACCGTGAGTTTACCCTTTTGATTTTAGTTACCTAGTGCTACTGCTAACCAGAAGGCTGGTGGTTCAAACCTACCAGCCACTCCTCTGAAGGAAGGTTGGGCAATCTACTTCCATAGTACACCTCGGAAACCCAAGGAGGGGTTGCTATGAGTTGGATCCAACTTGATGGCAATGAGCTTGGTTTTTTTTTTTTTTTTTTTCGGTTAGTGCTACTATAGCACAAATACCACAAATGAGTGGCTTTAAAGAACACAACAGTTCTGGAGGCTAGAAGTTCAAACCAAGGTCTCAGCCATGTCAATTCCTTCCTTGTTTATAGCCCTGGGCATTCCTTAGTTCCTTAGTGTTCCTTGGCTCGCAGACAATCTTTACATGATGTCTGCCTTCCTGTCTGTGTCTACTCTTTTTATAACTCAGAAGTGATTAGGTTTAGGATCCACCTAATACATTAATGCCCTCATTAATGCAACAAAAAGAAAACCCCATTTCCAAACAAGACCACATTTTCAGGTATAAGGGACAGGAATTCAGCACATACAAATACTCCTCACTTATCTATCTCATTAACCAACATTTCAAATATACAATATTAAAAAAATCTACTATCTGACTCTTTTGAGCATTAACAACATATGTCTGGTAAGTAATGAATGCTGAGGTGTGAGGCTAGAGTAATACTGGCTGCGATGAGTAAGGTTATGTATCCACTTGGCTGGGCCATGATTCTCAGTAATTTGGCAGTTGTGTAATGATGTAGTCATCCTCCATTTTGTGATCTGATGTGATGTGATCATCTTCCATTTTTACTTAACACTGATTTTAGCATAATGACTTGGTCCTTGGAACATAATCGTGTCAATAAGTGAGGAGTGGGGGCATTTTTGGGGGACACAATTCAATCCATATTAGGGTGCATGCACCTCTTTGAGCTCTGGGTCCAACAAAGAGCTGATCACTTGACAAGCCTGACCTCACTGAGGCCACTTGAGGGGGTTGCTATTGACACCCCCATTTTAGATACTTACATGGAAATGTCCTGAGAATCACGTGAGACTCTCAAGGTCATTCGGAGCAAGGATTCAAATCCAGGCCCGAGACTCCAAAGCCAGTGTTCATGATGACAATGTCGGTTTATTTTTCCACAGTTACAGTGGGGTAGGGGCTCAGGTAGGAGGGAGATCTAGTGAAGAAAGTTCAGCAAGAAAAGCAAATATTCTGTCTTCACCCTTTGGCTGCAGGGAATCAGATCCTCCCTCCTAATGAAACTGTCCCCAGTTGATACCACTCCTAATGAGGGAGACCTGTGAGACACCTGACTGTGAAGGAAACCAACTTTCCAACCACTTTCAGTCTGCCTTGTTGCCTTACTGGCTAACTTGAAGCCTGGCCATAATATTTAAATTAGCATCTTGGTTTCAGGTAGAGATATACTCCCGTGCCTTCCACATGCACAGAGGGTAAAACAAATCTATACCTCTGCTGACTGATTTTGTTTAATCAGATGTAAAGATTTTCATGTTTAAACATAGAAATGGTGCTGGCACTTGCTGGGGGGCAGCAGAGGTTGTATTCCTCCCTTGCCTACGTCCTGGAAAGGCAAAGGGGAACAAGGAAGGTATCCTTAGATTCACTAAGCATGATTATTGTGCTGCAAATCCTCCCAGAGCGCCTAACAAGCACTGCAAGGGCTGCTCTGCTGGTCAGCCTTCAGGGGGCAAAAATGCTGACCATTGCCTTGGGGCCCTTATCCAAATTCAGGTTGACTTTGTGTGAGTGTTGATCATAGGACTTCAAGGAGTTCATGAGCCTCGTCAGCAGAGAGGAGCAAGCCCATGTCAAGCAAACTAACCCCAAAACCAAACCCACTGCCACTGAGTCAATTCCAGCTCAGAGCAACACTGGAGGACACAACACTGTGGGACACAGTATAACTGCCCCATAGGGTTTCCCAGGCTGTAAATCTTTATGCAAGCAGACTTCTTAATCTTTCTTCCATGAAGTGGCTGGTGGGGTCAAACTGCTAACCTTTTGGTTAGCAGTCCAGTGCTTTAGCCACAGCACCACCAAACTTCCTCCTTGGGAAAACAAGAACAGTTTTATTAGGACAAGTAGAAGCAGTTTCCTTGCAGCCAAGGGGCAAAAACAGACACTTCCTCCTCTTGCTCAGCTTTGTCCAGCAGATCTTCTCCCTCCCACCTGAACCCCTGCTTCTCTAGACGGTGCAGCAGGGTGGGGAATAACCGACCCCCACAATAAGCCAACTGTTTTCCTCTCAATGACCCAGTGACGATCAAGGGGGTCAGAGAGAAAAGGGCCTTGTTATGGCTTCAATCGTGTGTCCCCCTTCCCCCAAAAAAATGCTCAAGTCTTAACGCCTGGTACTTGTGAATATGAGCTTACTTGGAAATAAAGTCTTCACAAATGGAATTAGTTGAGTAAACATGAGGTCATACTGGAGTAGAGCGGGTCCTAATTCAGTGTAACAGGTGTTCTTATAAAGAGAGACAGAGAGGGAAGAAGATGGGGTCACGTGATGATGGAGGCGGACACTGGAGTTATGCTACCACAAGCTAAGGAGCAGCTGGCGCTACAAGAAGCTGGAAGAAACAAGGAAGGGCATTCCCCTATAAGCTTCAGATAGCGTTGTGCCCTGCCAATGCCCTGAACTCAAACTCCCAGAGCTGTGAGGGAATACATTTCTGTTGTTCAAGGCCACCCAAGTCTGTGGTACTTGGTCAGACAGCCCTAGGAGACTGGTATAGGCCTTCTATCCCCAGCTGTTAATAGATATCTGTCTGTGCCCTGTATGAGCAGATGGCGAAGGGTATTTTAAAACCTTTTAGATTCATCACACTTTTACTGCCCACTTCATCTAGATCCAATTGGGGAAGGGGCTGTCAGAGAAGAATTATTGTTTTAAAAAATCAAGATCTGTGCAGAAACCAGACTACAGTGGCCACATTGCCCTAGGACCACTCCTAGGACCTAAGACCCACTGAAGTGGAGGGCTGCTACTTCCTGGGGAAGGAAGACCCAGGAGATGCAGGCCACCTGCCCTCATCTGCTGGCCCAACAGTCACTGCCCTGACACTTGCTTTCTGCCAGGACTTGACGTAACACCTTCCCATTGGGAATCAAGTCCAGCTAGATAGATTCCTGCTTCCCCTCTCAGTAGATTCTAAGCTGGGTGTCAACCCACTCCCTTCTAGAGTAGGGTGGCACTTGGAGCCTGCCTGTGATGACCATGGCTGCCCTGGGCTTTCTGGTTTGGTCAAGGAGTCTTGGGTGTAAGAGAGGACTCCCCATCAAGGATGGACTGAGAAGGACGCAGACTGCAAACATGGGTCCTGTCTGAGTAACTGTCAAGAGTGAACTCTTGGTCGATGGACACTCAAAGATGCAGTAATATGTCCCTCCTACTGCACACCCCAGGGTTACAGGTGAGGAGAGACAACTCAGGGATGCCCAAAGTAGCAGGCAGGAAGAGCAGGAGAAAGGGGATTAAAAGCCAGGAAGCCAGAGAGAAGAGCAATCAGCCGAAGGGATTAGGTGAGGAGAGGAAACTCAGGCCCGCCTGGAGTAGCAGGTCGGAAGAGC